AACCTTAATAAATGTAATAAAAATAAAGTAAAAAATTTCAAGAACTTGCATGTTTTCGTGAAAATTGGTCTTTCGACCTCAATTTACTCGTGATGCGAAAGTTTCCGAAACGGGAGACGATAACCCTATGCATAATTTTTTGTGCTCTATCGAATGTATATGGTCTCGACCCGAAATTATTGAGACACCTGAGACGTATCCCTCGTTAGAATGCTATTGTCAACAGAAATCAATTCCTAAATGTAACGTTACCTTGTTAATCACCAGAAGTACTTATGTAACTCATGTATATTATTATACTGTTAGTGAATTAAAATTGATTGTAAAGGCCAAGTGAGTTTTATAAGGTTAGGGACCCACAAAGGTATAGTTAAGATGATTGTCACCTTCAACAGGATCACCAAAATTCACGGTCATTCCTGTATTAACAAATACAATTTACATGGAAATGATTGAAAAGGGATTGAGGTTCAATGCAACAACAAAGAGGGAGTGAAATAACATCAGTTTAGGTAATAAGTCCAAAAATAACAACAATTGTCATAGGAACCAATTAACCAATCTGTTTCTATGGTTATGTCTTTTATTTTTGTTTATCGCGACCACGGAACAACAAAAAAAGGTACAAATTGACAACAAAAAGCCGGTTCAACAGTTGTCATCCATTATAATGCAATCATCCATTAAATTAGCATAAAAATTAACTCTAAATACTGGACACAAATTAAAAATATAAAATTCATAAACAGCTAAAAATCATACAAACACAAAACCCAAAAATTACAAGCAAACATAGCTATCAACATAAAACACCAGATTATTATCCAAAAGTAAACACGAAACATTTCACGACAAATTGTTGATCAGTTGAATGACTGATTAGTTGAACAGTTAATTAACTAAGAAAATAGTTAAAAAATTATTGACAATCAAAAAAACGAGCAAATATAAATAACGAGAAAAGTGTGAAAACCAGAAAACCAGAAAACATAAAATAACGGCTTGAGACAACCAGCCCAAGAAGAGGTTACAACGCATGTCTATGGTTTGTTATGAATATTTTAATAATTATTTCAGGTAATCATTAAGTCTTTTCACTTTTATTTTCAACAGTTACTCGATAAACGTCTGTTCAACACTCAACTAGGTTACCGTTGTGTAAATCCTCCCACTTTGGTGTCTCTTCAACCATTTATTTTGTTTTCTCCTGTCAGTGAACAACTTTTTTGCTTCTTACCTAACCTTGTAATACATTTTTACATGTGAATCGCCGTTGACAATGTTTACTATTGACGCTTCCATTTCATTTTCTCGGTGTTTCTATCATTTCAACTAAACTTACATCAAAAACTCGATAAAATGCATCACAATCATCTTGTCAAACACGGGGAAAGATGATCTTAAGTTGTGTTCAATTCAATATCTCCAGTGAAAATCAATTTCTTTGCTTATTCTTATTTCTTCCCGGTGAAGTGCATCCATCTTGATTATTTTGCCGGTCATTTCTTACCAACCAACATTGTTTATGTTTCACCTTATTTTAAAATTAAACACTTGACTCAATCAACCAATTGTCAATTCATTTCATCTTTACCATAATTATGGGTAAGTTTTCACCAGATTTACATATCAACATGTTTGCCAGTCTTAAGTAAATCAGCCCACATTATGATTAACATTATGTTTACCATTAAGTTAACACATTAACCTAAATGGTAAACAAAATATCTGGTTGTTTCACTTGTTGTGACCAATTTCGGGTAAATCAGCTGAGAAATGATTCCACCTAATGAAGATGATTTATTTGATAATTGCGTGTTATAATTTATTATTGAGCATAGTTTCACTCGACATTCAAAGTAATTTATTGTGATTAAATCATTATTTGAAAGGCAAATTTAGCCAACTTATATAACCAAGTATCAATATCATAGTTTATAAGTCACGTTAAAAGATCAGGCAACTTTTGTTTTACAGTTTAGGTTCAGTAATCAATTATCATGATATTTCAAATTAATCAAATAATAGTCCAAACATATTGTTATTCAAACCACGATTTAAACAACATGACAACAATAATCAGTAAACTCAAGTCAAAACTAATTTAGATTCATATTAATCCATCATAAAGTCCAATCATCGATGTATAATCAGATTAAGTCTCTAAAGATGTTAACAATGAGATGAAATGGAAATGTTAATCAGCTAATTAGCTATTCATTTTCCTGGTAAAATTACAATCAAATTAACCCATTTTCCATGGCAATACTTTTACTCCAAATTGATTAAACCTTATCCATAGATTTAATTGCAATCCAGCTAAAAGTGATACAATTAATGCAATGAGAAACAATCTTACAAAATGAGAAACAGCAATTCACTTTAAATAACGTTGACTCGCATCCAAACACGCAAATTGATGATAATCAGTTGACCAATATTATTGATGGCAATACTCAATCAAGAATGTAAATAATATCAAGTGATTAATCAATAGTAACAAGAAAAACCAGAAAAACATTCAATTTAGAGATAGAAATAACCAGAAAGTCCAGACTTGAAATTAAACCCAAAAATGAGGGAAACCAGAAAACGCTGAAAGAACGCTTAACCTAAAATTTGATTGTAATTTTATTGAAATTCATCTAATTATTATGGAAAATGTTGATTCATTTGTAGAAATCACTTTCTGGATCATTACTTGATTAAAAATATTTAATCAAGTGAATTGAAAAATGGTAAAGTGTTTACCTTGAATTGCATTTACTCCCAATGATTGTGATCAATCCTTGAATGGATGTAAAATATTCTCACACTTTACTCCATTATTGATTACTGTAGGTAATTATGGATTCATAAGTCGTGGCTATGTTTGGAAATGAAACTATTTTTTTGACCAGCTAATCATGAAATCATGGTTGGTCAGTTTTTCAGGTTAAGGACATTTAGTAGTAACTTGTTCATGTTGTAATCGGTGTAAAAATATTTTACTAGGGCAACCTCAGGGAGGTTGATAAATGATGAAAAATGTAAAAACAAAAAGCAGTCCCAATGTAATAACAGGTTTCATGTTTAAATTACAACTCCTCAAACGAAGACATTTCAATGTAATGTGAAGAAGTGCAAAACTATGTTTACGGTCTGATTAATTTTAATCACAATCTAAGCTGACCTCATTCAGCCATTTGCATAAGTTAACCTTTGTTAATTAGCTAATCTAATCATATGAATCAGAGGGAAATTGAAGAGAACAGAAATGAAAATCATTTTTGAATCAAGGGAATGAAAACTCCAAGTCATCTCAATATTTACAGAGCTCATTGTTTTATCCTTTGAAAGCTTAAGATTTATTGTTTTGTCTAAAAACAGATTCATTGGAAAATGAAATTGTTACGATTCCGAAAACTGATCATGTCTTCGAGTCTAATCATTTCTTGGAAAAGCGAATTATGATTTGAACATTTGAAAACCTTTTGAATCTCTTTCGGTCAACTCATGAAATTATAGATTTTTGATATTCTCTCAAGTCAAAGGTCACGCTGACTGGACTGTTTTGTTTTCTTGTGTTAACCTCAATTTGTAACAATCAATACAATATTGATTATTAAATCATTGATCTTACTTTTCCATTGAAAATATCGCATATTCTGTCCATCCATAACATTTTATTTCCTCACTTTTTCATTACATTTACTGTTGAAAGATTTTAATCGAATTCTTACCATGATAATGAAGATGAATGGAGCTTAAATTGAACGGAAGGATCTCAAGTTGATTGATTATAACCATTGACAGAAAAATATTTAAATATTTCTCATTCTAATTCATAAGGATAAGAGCAAAATAAGATCAAAGACAAAAACAAATCAATCTTGTTTATGAATTTCAGAGTTTATTTGGGTTGCTACTAAAAAGACACAATTGTCACATTTATGAACAAATTGACAAAAATACTGGAAGATTAATGGGCAAAAACGGGTGAAAATGAATTTCTTTCAAATTTAGATTCTGTCATTTTGTAGGGAAATAAAACCTGAATCCATTGGTGCTATTCAAAAGTTTCTCCAATCAACAGTTTTCGAGAAAATCGAGTCCAAAGTTGAAACTTCGATCCACTTTTATTTGATTAGGGAACCAGATTTTTTCGTGGAACTCATTTCAGTGATTTAATTTTTGATTATCAACCAGAAAATGCAGTTATTTTGAGTAACAACATTTTCTTTTTTCTAGAAAACAGATCATTTCGAGTTCCAATTAAACCGACCTATTTGTGTAACTAAACAAGTTAGAGAGCTGAAACTTATGATTTGTCCATAAATATTGCTGGTAAATATTTTGGATTGAATACTTATTTCAATTTATGTACAGTTCTCCTGATTTTGGACATTGGACTAAAAAGTTTTAACCTCAATATTTCGAGATTGGCATCACCTACAGTCATCATTCTTTCACCAAATATTAGATTTTATTATGGGTTATAATATTATATGATTGAATACCAAATGAATCTGAGTTAATTTATTCAATAATGAAATCCTTCTCACACTTAACATTTGTGTTTGAATAATCATTCAACTTTACAAATCAAGTTTAGAATCTGAAAACATAGGTAATACTACACAATAACTTTTTTCGTAGAATCTTAAGTGATTTAATACTTCAATATATCATATTCCTTAATAAAATCTAATAATTCATCAAAGAATGTTAATTGTTGGCCCTACCATTCTCGAAATATCCAGGTTTAAACTTTTAAGACCAATGGCCGAAATTGAGAGAACAATTGTAAAATTGAAAAGTATATCTAGTCCAGGATGTGTATCAACAAATTTTATGAAAGAATGATAAGTTTTAGTTCTCTAAATCATCCGGTCACGGAATGAAGTTAGTTAAAGTTAAAATCGAACTTGATCTGTTTTACAAAAAAAGAAAATGTTATTCCTCTTAATGAGATCATTTTATGGTTGGCCATTAAAAGTTACACCAGCTAAATGAGTTTAGTGAAAATATCTGCTTCCATAGTTGCACAAAATGCGATCGAAGTTACAACTTTGACCTCGATTTTCTAGCAAACTGTCGCTTTGAGACATTTTTCAATAGCACCAATGGGTTTAGTTTGCATGTCTCTACAAACCCACAATGTCTCAACTCTTAGATCAAAAGTTCGAGACTTTGACAGCACTCTTTGCATTTGATTTGCAAACTTAACCAGAAAATTGGTTTATTTACCAGGATATTGGTTAAAATGAGTTTGTTTAGCTAAATAAGTTGTTGTTTGTGCATCAAAAACCCTAGAATTATGACCCGAAAGCGCAAATAGAAAGCTTTTGAATTGAATTAAGTTATTAATCAGTTAAGAATCAAATTGGTGAAAGAATGATAACTGTAGGTGATGCCAATCTCGAAATATTGAGGTTAAAACTTTTTAGTCCAATGTCCAAAATCAGGAGAACTGTACATAAATTGAAATAAGTATTCAATCCAAGATACTTACCAGCAAATTTTATGGACGAATCATAAGTTTCAGCTCTCTAACTCGTTTATTTACACAAATAGGTCGGTTTAATTGGAACTCGAAATGATCTGTTTTCCAGAAAAAAGAAAATGTTATTTCTCTAAATAAGACCATTCTATGGTAAGTCACCAAAAGTTACATTAGTAAAACAAATTTAATGTAAATATCTGCTTCCGTAATTGTACAAAAGGCGATCGAAGTCCCAACTTTGACCTCTTTTTTCTCGAAAATTGTTGATCGTAGAAACTTTCCAATAACATTCACGGACGCAGTTTTTATGCCTCTACAAACCAACAGACTCTAAATTTGAAAGAAATGCATTTTAACGCGTTTTTGCCCATTTGTTTTTCAGTCATGTCAGTCAGTCATTTGTGTCAATTTGCTTATAAATCGGACAATTGTGTCTTTTTTAGTAACGAATGTTTAGCTGTCTTGTTATGCGATTGAGAAAAGCACGTATTCCAGTGTTTACCATGATTGTGGTCAACAAATTTGAATGTTCAGACACTTTATTTGAATCTTTTTTCTATTTAAAGGATTTTCTCAGTGAATAAAAACATTGCATGGACTGTTCAGTGTTTAATTATTAATGAAGAAACGTTTATTGGGTCAAGAGCATGTTAACATTGTTGTTGTAATACTTGATTAACTTATCAGGTCATTACAAGATTAACTGATCCATAGTTTCATGGATATAAAATTTAAGGAAATTTAGGTTAAGTTCGATTAGTTTGTAATGAATGCAACGAATTCACATTAATCTTCACAGATGATTGATTCCAATGAATTGTAATGAGCTTAACAATTGTTTACTCAACCATCAATGGACAGTCAGTGTTCAATTGCAACAAATGTTCTGTTCGAAATCTTTTTGATTAAATTTTCAAAACATTATTTAAAGCCTTTAAAATAATTCTTTCCTCTAATTTGCATTCTTTTTTAATCTTTCACAGGGAATGAAGTGATTTATTACATTACAATTTGGTCGTTTTTAATCAGAGTTACCCTGCTTACAGCACCAAACATTGACTATTCACATAACATGAGAGTCTTAATGTTACCAAAAACAGTTAAACCAGGAACTCTGATCTATAGATTGAAAGGTTCTCATCCTGATTCAATTCCATTAACTTTCGGTGTTAAAGGACCGATCGGACGTAAATTATTGGACATTAAACCAGCGGACTTTCGTTCAGCAGATGTGTACTTAAGATCCATTTTAGAGGTAAATTAAACTTTCTATCTGAACTGCTAACATCTAAAGCAAAGGGGCAAAATGACAATTACTGTGCACCAGACATTGAATTCCTGTAAAATCTATGAGAATTGAAAGAAGCAAACAAAGCCTAAAATCAATAAAACTGACTAGACTTGGAATAGCTAGAAAATTAATAACTTAAACAGATTGCTTGAATATTTCAACAGGACATTTCAAGAGTTCGAACGATTTAGGATAGTTTCAGCTGGAACCGTCTGTGACTCTTCATAAACAATTCGATTTAAGACTTTTCGATGAATAAAAGTCAGAAATCTGATAAAAAGATGACATTTAAGCTCGAAACGTTATTTTCCTAGGTTTATCACAATTAGCTCGCAACAGAATCAAAATAAATACTAAATTTAAAACAGTCACTTTGCTAAGGATTTTGGCCAATAATTTTATTCGATTCAAATGAGAATCTAATGAAAATGGAATCTCAATTAAAATGTTTTTCTTTCAGGAGAATGATTATAATTTAACAATTTTTGTAACTGACGGTAATCAAACTACTGAAGTGGACTCGAGGATAATTGTTACAGAACCAGAAGGTCCAGTTTCATCACCTTTTATTGATTTTCAGTCAATTTATTTTATCAATGAGGTAATCAAATGTTTCCAATATTAATTCAAGTTTACCGATACTTAGCAATTAACTTATCCCATTCAATTCCCAGAATTCACCACATAATTCAACAATTGGTTTTGTTATGGCAAAAGACAAACAATCAAGTAATCTTCCAGTTATGTTTGAGCTTAGGGTAAGTAATTGATCATCACGCGTCGATTGTTTGTTTAATTTTCATTGAATACTTCTTAGGGTTCGGATAATTTTGCAATAAGATACATTTTTGGACCTAAAGGATCGAGTAAAGCCATGATTTTTCTTGTAAAGGATGTTGATTATGAAAGGAGAAACATCTATCCAATGACTATAATAGTAACGGTAAGTAACTTAAATCATTCAATATAATCAAACATCTCAGTTAATCACTTTTTTTCGTGCTATATTTCCCCTTCTTTGCGTTTACAGAATGCCTGGACAAATGAAACAATTGATACTCGAAACATTGCATCAGTTGATGTTCTAATTGTGGTTCGAGATGCTGAAGATACACCACCAAGTTTCGTCAATTTACCCTCAGTTGTCCAAATATCTGAAGATGCCGAGACTGTAAGTAAAACAAGTTCAACAAACCAAATCAAAAAATGAAAATTCATCACAGCTTTGAAATGATTCTGCTGAAAATAACGCAGATTTGATTCCTAATTTACAGGCTAGTTATGATTGATAATTAAATAGCATTTAAATTAGCAAAATAACATTATCATGACAAGAAATGATTTAAACCATTCCCTTTGAATTGTTTTGCATTGAGCTTATAAAAGTGAATATTTCTTATTTGGATGTTGACTATCGACTAAGAAGAATGATCGTGTGAGATGTTTTTAAATATTTGACAGTATATGAGCTTTATTAAGCATATCTTTCAGATAAACTAATCTACTGTTTATTGGAACGATTAATAATAGTTTACTTGTCATTATTGCAGGGAAGCATACTCGATACTATCACTGCCCAGGATGGAGACGTTGAAATAAATAGAAAAATCGTTTATTCTTTGGTTAAAAGTAAGTAAATTTTAATGGATTTATTGACTTTTATACAAAATCTTATGTTTGTCTTCACTTTTTTGCACTTTTACAGATCCATTCAGCAATTATTTTTCATTGAACAAAACTACCGGTCAATTGGCTGTTAAAGTTTCAGGATTAGAGTTGAAAGCAATTGTTGGACTTAATAATCCATTTATGCTGACAATTAATGCAACTGAAATTGTTCCTGAAGAGGAAATGGAAATTGGACTTCCAATTACGACAAAGGCTTCCATAGCATTTGTAATTGTTGCCAATCAAAATCGTCCACCAACATTTGCAACAAACAATTTAAAGGGCTTTATTGAAGAGAATAGTCCAGTGATGGCAGCAATTCGTTGGTTTAATTACAGCATACCTCGAGTTAATGATCCAGATTCTGGTCTTAATGGGACAATGGATTTAATGTTAACTCCAATTGATTCCGATCAGCATAATAACATGTTCATCATTCAACCAAATTGGGGTTTACGAGAAATAACCTTTTCAATTTTACTTGGCAGTGTAATTTCATTGGATTATGAGACGGGTCCAAATCAAATTCAATTTAAGGTTAGTTAATCGCTGGTTCATTGAAACAATTACCAACCAAGCCTGACTAATTTCAATTGATGATCAAAATGTAAATGTTTAAATTATTTTCAATCAAACATTTATTACGCACTTTCATGGTGAAAAAATGGTATCAAAACAACCTTACATCGATCAATATTTTCTTGATTGATTCTCACTTTACAGGTTATATTGATACTTTTACAATACTTCAAATCAATATTTCAAAACAGGTTCTTTTATTAGTTTACAATAGTTCAACATTATCACTATTATTTCAATTGTTCACCTTATTTTATTATTTACAGAGTTATCTATATTTATTAAAATAGTTCATTAAAATTGGACGAAATTAATTTTGATTGAAAACAGTAAAGTCAGAGAGTCGAGACACTAGAGTTGAATAAACATTTTAGCCATGAAAATTAATCAATGAACGAAAAAAATCAATTGAAATTTCTAATAAGGTCAAAAATTTATTCTACTCGTTTGGATTACGAATAATTTAATTCTCGGATTGATGAATGTTTTTATTTATCCCAGATCACCGCCACTGATCGTTCATCATTGAAACCATTATCATCTGAAGCGTTGGTAGCAATAACTGTTGTCGATGTGAATGATAATTATCCACAATTTAAACAATCTTTGTACAATGTTACTTTGTATGAAAATGCTTTGCCTGGAACTAAGCTGGTTCAGGTTGAAGCTAGTGATCTTGACAGTGGACTTTTTGGTCAGATCAAATATACTTCCATTAATGGACCGATTGCCAAAAAGTGAGTCCATCGTTTAAACGGTCTTTGTTAGAGTGGATTTTTTACCAATTTTTCATATTTTATCCCATTCGTCTTCATATTTAGCTTTAATCTTGATCGAGATAGCGGCTTGATAACTCTGAAATCAATTGATGGGATCGATCGTGAAAAAACATCCGAATACACATTAACAGTGGAAGCTCGCGATGAAAACGGCTTTGGTCTATCTAATGTAACTCAAATTCATGTCACTATATTAGATGACAATGACAACCAACCTGAGTTTGTTCAATCGAGATATGATGCTGTACTTAATCCAGATGGGTTAACGTTTACCCAACCTTTGCTGGTTAAAGCAATCGATGCAGATGAACCAGACACTGTCAATAGTCAAGTTGTTTATGAGATTATTGATGGTAATTATCAAGGAAAGTTCATCATTAACAATAGCACCGGTTTAATCAGCATAACAAGACCTTTGACATTCAATGAAAACAATAGAGAGAGTAGACTAGCCGAGGAATTCAAAATTCAAGCATTTCCAACCATTGTATTGAAAGTCAGGGCTCATGATCAAGGAGTTCCATATCGTTTTTCAACAGTTGAAGTGTTTGTTCATCATAAGGTAAAGTCTTTCTTTGGTCCTGTTAATACTTTTTCAACCAATTTTAACATTTTTTTCTATTCATCTGTAACAGGATTTTCTCAATAGAACTGTATCTTTTATTGTGCCTCAAGATGATAGTCGAGTTAGAGATAAAAGATTTGATATTGAGAGGTAAGATGAATATTTTATACTTTCTGGATTGCAGTTACTCCAACACTGAATATTGTTATTTCTTGAACTTAACAGAGGATTGACTCGCTTAGCCGGTGCTGATGTTCATATATATTCAATAAAATCCATCCCATTAGGACCTAAAACGAGCCAAATCGACGCTTGGATCGCTTACCCGACATATACTATAGTTGATTTACGCAATCTTGGAGTCATAATAACTGATCTAACGGGAAGTCAACTTCCAGTTCCCAAGGATCCTGTTCAACGTGAAACCATTCAAACAGCGGCAATTTACAGGAATGATTATGAGCTTGTCTTGTGGATATTACTATTTTTAATTGTTATAACTTTACTCTTCCTTATTGTTCTTCTTGCTGTTTGGTGTGCTTGTTATAGAAACGATCGTAAAACCAAGTGAGTTTCAATCATTAACTTTTATTTATTATTTCAGCTTCTGATTCATTCGTTTTTCCTTACAGAACTCTGTTAGAATCCATCGAGCCAACAAACAGGATTATTGTGAAAGATAAGTCAACAAATCATTCTGAACAAAATGGTTCATATTTACAACAGTCTAAATTGACGAAAGTCTCTGATCATGAGACAATTGTCAATGAAGCATATCGTATGCAAGATGATCCCCAACGTGATTCATCCAAATCCCGCGAAGATGTAACAAGTTCAAGTGATACACGAAAAAGAGATTTCAGAGAGTCAACCGTCGGAAAACAATCTCAATTCAAGAGAGTCCGGCTAGGCCGCAATAGGAGAGTTCGAGTTAGTCCTGAGGTAATCGGAGAAGCGGAACCTATTTATTTAGAGGACTTTACAGATGATCCTGAATACTATATCATGAGACGACCAAAAATAAGAAGACCCTTACCCCGTCATAATGCTATCGATGACGAAGACATGCAAATTAATCAACCAGAATCAGGGACTGTTGTATCAAACGCAGTAAATAATAACTACTATCTTTTTTCACGTCGATCTGGAGCATCAGAAAAAACAGATCAACAGCCGATTGGAACATCAAGAGGCCCAGGCATCCAAAGAGGAGGATCTCTGAGAGAACGAAGTCTGTTCCCTGATCATTTAGTTGGTGATTATAGAAGTGTAAGTGAAGCAGAGATTCGGGATATTAAATTAGAAGACATTGAGGATGTTAATGTAACAACTGAAGTCAAACAGCCATTACCTAGGGATCAGTCAGATGATGAATATATACCAAGAAGGAGTTCTCAGTCAATTTTACCACCGAGAATAGAAGTTATAAGCCCGCAGTCTACTTCGAATGACAATCATAATCGAATGCATAACGTTGATGAATCCAATTTGCCATATAAAAGTGGTAAAAATGGCAACAGCAGCAGTAGTAGCAGCAGTAGCAGTAGCAGAAGCAGCAACAGTATTGGCAGCAAAAACTCGACTAAAACCGAACCACATGATGATAAAGTACCATCAAAGACCAGTGATTTACCGGGAAGTGTTTCAAGCTTTGAGCGTAAACTGTTTGATCGAAGTCCCAGTGAGGGATCAAATATTGATATGGGGTTGCTTGATGGAGTTGTCACAAGAAGTGGACCGAATTCTGCGTTAGATTCTTATGGTATTAATGAAACGAATGATGAGGTATCCAGATCAGAAGAAGTCAATAATGGCGAGTCAAATTCAAATAAAGATGAGCATTCAGAACAATGGAATGTGGCAAGTTATTCCGCACAATCGTCTCCTGATAGTTTGGGGGCTGGAAAAGTCAATACAGGAGTAGTCGTGGTAAATCACAATGGAGTAAGTCGAAGCGTGATTGGTGATCATTCTGATCATTCAGACAGATCAGATTCAGATTCAGGAATCGGCAGGAATCGATTGGATAAAAAAATGCATCTTAAGAACAGTGATTTAATGACGAAGAAAAGCATATTCACAATAGCCTTTGATGGTGTCAAAACGGATAGATTGAGATCAGCAGATTCAATTCCGCCAACACCTTATGTTTAAAGAAATTGAATCAAACCAATTGAAAACTGAGCGTTAACTCTGTTTCTTGCACAAAGATGATTCCAAATTGTTATGTAATATAATTTTTGACTGTGATAATTGTATAGAGAATTGGTGATCTGTTGCCAATAAAAACTAATTTTTTTCGAGCTACAAATTTGCATCAAAGTGTTTTTATCAGTCCATTGTCACAATAACAGGGCATTCATCTTCTGGCTCTTCTTCAAAATCCCATTTATATTTTTCGGTTACTTGTCTTTTAAATCTTTCAGCTGCTTCCTTGAGCTTTCTATCAACCATCTCGTTCGAAAAAATATTGAAAAAGAAATCACGTAAAACGGAAACAAGAAAATTTTCATTGTCCACAATATCGACGAAAATATCCTCTGGAACTTCCTTCAGCTGTAAACTGAATACTCGAATGAAGTTTAAATACATAGAGGGATATTTGCTAATAGCCTGATCAGAAGCACATAGTAGTTTTAGCATAGCTTTCCATTGCTCGAAAGAATCGTTAACTTGTCCAACAATAAAGGTGACAAAACTAAATTGTAATTCACCGAGGATATCATTTGTATGTTGGTATCTCTTCAAGGCCTCATCGAGAGTGTACGTTTGATCAATAGAATGTTTTGTCAAATCACTTGGATTGATTGCTTCACGAGGAAGCTTTGGTAACTTTGAAAGCTGGGTAAATTGAATTTGTGAATTAGGCTCGACTTTCATGTAAGGCATTAAGTTATCAACAGTCAATCGTTTACTTGTACTTGTCTCAGGTTGTTGAACATCTTCTGGATATCTAAGCGAAATCATTTCGGTAACTGATTTAATCTTTCCACAAATTGGATTAAGAATTTCTAACACGGTCAAACTGATATAATTAGTCAAATTTATCCAGCGTTGGTACTCTCTAAATGGATAAGGAGCCAGATGCTGGTCCAAAGAACCAATTAAATTGTCTTGATAGCGCTGAAATTCATCAGCGTCCAACAACTCGCTAGAAATGTCTTCGTTTCCACCATCCCATTTACGAATAATCACTTCTTTAGGTTGAAAGAAGTGAAAGAGTCCCGTTCGAGGGGCAATCTCGTTCCTATTCTTACTATTCACAGCACTATAATGAATGAAATGTAATCCCGGTGGTATCATTTTAAATCCTTTAAATTTTTCTCCAACAGAATAATCACTTAAATCAATTCCAATTGATGAACCAATAGGTAAATCTAAAAGCAAGAAAAATCCACCTTCACTTAGCAAATCTCTGGCCGTATTTTGATCAATATCAAGAGTATCCATTGGTGATTCTTCAACACTCATTATTAATTACTCACAATTTGTCAGTCATTAACACAAATTGCTAATACACTCACTGAAAATTTAAACTAACCAGCTGTTAATTTTAGCGCAATTTTAATCTTCAATATAAAGTAGTGCCATCTATGAATTTGTCAAAACTAGAGTTTTCAGGTTGATTAACAGTTTGAAACAATTAATAAACAACAATTTATGCATTATTTTTTACTTTTTATTTAAATTTTCTATTGAAAGTTAACAGTCAGTTAATAAAATTTTAAAAAAGAAACTTCTTTTTGCTAAATAAACATGCTTCTTTACAGCATTAATCATTATTATGTTTCGTAGTTAAAAATTAGCATACATTGGCATCTCAGCAACACCACACATATTAACACCTCTCCTCATTTTGAAATATCCGTTATCACCCCAATCAGCTCCCCAACTGTTTTTGACAATCCAATAGTCGATTCCATTTGAATCTGTTCCAAACCCAACCAGGGTAACAGCATGATTAACTTGATTTGTACAGGTATCATCATCATAGATTCCTTCCCAGTAAAACGTCAAATAAGGTGAGCTACCATCAATAGCCACTGCAATGGGTCCAATCTCCTTAACAGCCAAAGCAAGTTCAGTTTCATCGAGAGGTGTAACAAACCCAATAGTACGAATTTTACCATACTTGAGCTTGATTTGTTGGTCCAAACACACGTAATCTTTAGTTAAATAAGGATAATCCGTAGCATCGACAAAGGGTTCATCAGCTAGATAAGTGTAAGCACCAAGCATGTTACCACCACCACAACCTTCATTCCCATTAGACCAAGAACAATCAATCAGTTGCTGAGCAGATGCATTAACTAACTGGCCCGTTTTCAATGCCCATTGTCCTTCAATGGTACTTGTTGTGGCGAAAGCCCAGCAAGAACCACATTCACCTTGATCAACTGGTGGGTTTACAATCCCATGTGAACGCCAGTCAAAACTAGATCCTTTGTCACTGGTGACATTGGCATCAGTTAACCTAGGCTTGAAAAGTTTGAGTTGGGCTGATTTCAGGCTAGTTGAGGAAAGGCCAGTCCTTTGTTTAACCATTTCACCAGTAGTCTAATTGTAGTCAAAGAATGATTAGCCAACTTCAAGGCGACACTTACAATTGTTAGATGACACACAGCGATTTAGAAGCATAACTTCAAACAAAAACATCCAAACACAGAGACAGAAACTCGACCATTTCAGATGAACATCAAGACAGTTGACACAATCAAAGTACATGTAGCATCAAACATATAAACACAATGTCGTAGATCCATATTGTTAAACTTACTTTGTCAGCATATCGATTCAAAGAGAGCTTGAAATTTCTCAAACCCAAATCGGCAACAGTGTTGTGTTTCAATATCTTGTTCAGGTTCATTCCAAAAGCATATTTACGGAAATAATCATCAGCCGAGAATGTATAATTTTTACCATGTCTAACCTAATAATCAGACCAAAAAAATGACAAACAAATCCTAAAGAACATTAAAAGCTAAATTTCTTACCTTATAAGTTGTCCAGTAAGAGTCCAGCTCATTTTCAGATAACTCTATGGATTGAATTGGAGAGAGATGCAGAGAAAGCAAAATGAATGGGAAAATTAAGTAAATCATTTCCAACGAGCAAAGATACAGCAATTGAATTAACCAAATAGACAACTGTGATCATCTTTTTAAAATAAACTGTCGATAAACAATAAGAATCTAAGTGTGATTACCATTAATAATGATCATAAATGGTATAATAACGGATCTAAAATCAAATAATACAAATAGCCGTAATTTATGACTCCAAATGTAACTGATGTTAATTGATACAAAAACTGATTGCCTCTCGATCGCATAATACCCAAGTGAACGGTTACCATGTTTATATTGATTTAATTGGTGCTTAACCATTATAAAATTGTATTATGGCTATTAAGAAATGTTTACAATTCCTATTGACGTTTTGTTATAGTTACAATTGTAATCAATTGATTCAAGTTTGATTGCTTTGAATCTTTTACTTTATTCTTGTCAAATATTACATTTACACTAATTTAAATCCATTTTCTTGTTTAATTTAACATTTTCAATTAAAAAAGAAAGAGATTTGTTTATAACTTTGGAATACAATTGATATTATTACAACAATTAAAAAGCTTATTGGGCTGCTTGATTATAGTTTTACAAATTTCATGATCTTTTCATTTTTTTCGGGTCTTTCTATTTTGTGGGATAAATTGCAATGAAACAAATTGATAATCGTGATTATTATATAAAAGGACAAATAAAGACAGTGATTAGTAAATTATTAATGCGAAATAAATCAATATCTTTGTGACCCAATTTTGCTATCATTTAAGTTGACTGTTTCTGCTGTTTGTTTCAAGAAGAGCTGCCCAATTTACAATAGAAAGTGATTAGAAACATTTAATATTTAAAATCTGGTTATGTTAATTTCTGAATCAGATTGTTACCATTAATATTAATGACTAAACAGATTGTACCAATACATGGTTATGCATGTACTAGAAATGAATTTAATTTGATACCTAAAATATAATTTATATTGAATCACTGGTGATGATGATGATGAGAAAGTTGATGATAAAGACAAAGTGTTTGATGTCCAATGGTTAGTTGTATATCAAGATTGGCCGTTAATTTCAGTTCTCGTTGTTGGTACAGAAGGAAACAAAAAAGTGATGATTAACGAATGAAAAAGATTCAATTGACTGAGATTCATTACATTAACAATAATATTTATGATTTTCAAGGATGGACTCAAATAGTAATGCAAAATGTTAAGCAAAAAACACGAAGAAGCAAGATGAGAGAAAATAATTGAAACTAAATCAAGTTGCAACTGAATTCAACTAAACGTGAAAAAACAACAGAATGATCGGGAAAAGGTTAATTTAAAGGGGAATTAAATCTTGTGAAGGGTAACTGGTGTACAATTGATAGATAAATACATAATAAACCTGGAATTCTAGCGTTGAATCAAAATCAAATTGAGATTTTTATGGACAGTTTCTTTTTTCGGTGAATTTTACTTTTGGCAAATCTAGTTGAAGATTATGAATTGAATTAACTGGGGAAAAAGAAGAGAAAAATTCTTGCTTTTTTCGGTTGTTTCATGTTAGGCAAATCTAAAGACACAGTACTGCTTTCTGAAGAGTTGAAAAATTGCCATTGCATAAAAATGACAAGATATAGTGATATTGTCATGGAAAGATGTCAAAATGATTAAATTATGAAAGTCTAAAGTTGAGATAAACTGTCCATTTATCTCGAGATGATTTCTGTCATTGAAATGACATGAAAGTTTATCATCATCAACCTGCAGGGTGGATACCTTATTAAACTAAATGAAACATAATTTCAAAAAATGAGAGGAAAATAATGTAATTGTGTGCGACAGATAGAGGTGAATGTGGTTTCGGTGAGACAAAAAAACATTCAACTACTCAGTGTACCTAAGATTAAGATTATCTTTTAGGTATGATCCCTGATCAGGTTGATTGACGATTAAATGATGATTTGAGATAGAAAGAAATGTGAAATATAGAACTACAGAAAGAGATAGAGAAAATTAATTTAGTAATGAATAAAATTGTCATTGATCTAATAGCGAAACATGACTCTTTTTTGAATATACTATCACAGGATATTTTTTTGGAAATAAGAGTTTTCGTTCATCTTGCTTATAATTTTTTAAATCTTCGGTTGATTTGTCGACTAAGCATATGTATATATAAATATTAGAATAACTCTGTTTAAATGTTCGTAGGATTAATTGAAAAAGCTTTCACAGCTTTGACAGTGACGTTGATTTCCCTGTAATAATGTGTTGTAATTAGCCTTGTAAACGAGGTTGTTTAATGGATTAAAGTGAAAAATCCATTTTCGTTTCCAGTGAAATGAGGAATGGTTGATGTAGAATGAAATGGAATTATTATCCAGGGCGACCAAAAAACATATTAATCTTTAAATTGAATTATCTATACTTCTAATACCTATAAGAACGGGAGAAAAAAGTATCATTAGTAAATCACATATAAGATTAAGAGAGCAGGCAAGAAATGGTTTATGAATAAATTTACCGATAATAGTTTGGTTTAAATGGTCCAGCTTTATTGAGACCCATAAATTTGGCCTGGTCATCAGAAAGCTCAGTTAAATGGGCATCAAAAGTGGGTAGATGAAGGCTAGCAACATATTCATCTGTGAAAAGAAAACAATTGAGATTGGTGAATTGTTACAAGGACGAATTTTCATGAGAGCAGACTTGCAAGTATTAGCAAAATCCATGAGATTACAATGGATTACAATAGGCATTTTCTTACAGAATAGACGAATAAATTGAGTGACTGAAAAAAACTGACAGAAGAGAGCTAAAAAATGAAGTCTAAACTAAAATAGAACAGAAATATTACAAGAATTAAGATTTAAAATATAATAAGATGAAGTGTGTGTTGAATGCAAAATAGCTTGTCTAACTGATGAATGAAACCATGTTAGAAAAGGCTGAGAGAGTAAAGAATTATGAATATAACTAATTCTTGTGATGATAGTAATCGTATTATCGTCAATAGCCTGTGATCACATTTCTTACCCATTTTCTTGGGTAGCAAGTAAACGTCAGATTTATATCTTCCAGCTGGAGCATTGTATAATTCAATTAAGGCTAAGGCTTGAGTTGCAGCGGTAATGGAAACGACGAATGATGGAACGCGCGAACAACTGAGATTGATGAGGCGTCCCTGATAACCATGAAGAAAAGGGAAATTAAAAGATAATAAGAGAACCATTAGATAATTGTATGAGTAATCAAAGAAGGGAAAACATTCAAGGTTATTACAGAATAATTAAATGATAATCAGAAGGTAAACAAAAGCATCAAAAGGCAACAATTACCTCGGCAACTAGAATAATCCATTTACCATCAGGCCAAGTTATGTGATCAACGGAAGATCGAACTCGTTCCCAAGTAAGATCCGGAGTTCTTAAGCTTTGCTGTAAATGATGACAAAATTGAGAAGAAAAATTAAATTAGTAAAGTATATTGTATAAGATAATTAATTTATTTTCATACAGTTAATTAAAAAGTGATAAAAAAGAGGAAGTAAAGTGAGCATTGATTAAAAAATAATTAACTTTTCAATTAACGTTTTTTTGTAAGTTTTCAACCATTATTAGCTATAGAGAAAAAATGAGTGAAAGTTAAGTGAAAATAACATGCCCTTAACTAAATTGCACTTTACTATGAAATAGACATTGTAAGATCTTTTTTGTTATTAAAATGATGAATATGAAAATTAGTGTATTATAATATCTCAATAATGTATTAAAACCTTTGATAGTAAATTAACGTTACTCAGTATAAATTATTTGTATTATAAAATGAAAATGGATACTATTAATGATTTACAGTTGACTGAATTTAGGGTCTTGAGGTGTGACAATTAAGCAACCAGTGAAATAATGTTATAAACAATATAAAGTGTACAAGCTTTAACCCTAATTTCAAGGCTTTCCTCTCTTTTTTTGATCTAAACTAACATTGTTATTGTGTTCAATCAAGCAATCTTTTAGTAACAATAATGATAATCATCATGTAACTGAAAGTAATGATTAATAAAGTCACAAACAATGATTGGCACGGGACAAGGATTGATTGAAAATTTTTACACTGTTAACAGTTAATCAATAACCAATTTAGTTTTCAACTGGTTTTTGTGAACACAAATATTGAACACAATATCAAATGAATGTGAAATGATGGATTAAAAGGCTCACCACGTCAATTTCGGTATTTGAATGACCCATATTACATATTATACAGCCCGACTTAACAGTGTCAATGTGATCTCGGGTAACTACATTTTTGCTTCCAGTGGCAGTTATAATAATGTCCACTTTACTAATGACTTCAGAAAGGGTAACAACTCGTAAACCATCCATACTAAATAGCCATTTCATGTAAAAATAGCAAATAAAAGAAAATGGAAAAACATTAATAAAACGGAAGTTATTAAATTTGAATCATAAAGGTTTTAAGAGAAAAATCAATCTATTTGTGTGATTAAGAAAATAAAATGTCTCCTTCTTTTGTTGTATTTTATTTCTTGGTATCTTACCAAGCTTGAAGTGCACAAATTGGATCGATTTCGGTAACATAAACAACGGCACCCATTCCTTTTAATGCTGAACAGCATCCTTTACCAACCTGATGGAATTAAAATCAATGAAATGAGAATAGAGTTCAATATTAGGTTAATGAGGTTAATTTTTAAGAATGAGTGTGATATTGGAAGTTTGATTAGCTTACCTCACCATAACCACAGACAACGACTTGTTTCCCACCAAACATGCAGTCGGTTGCACGCTTTAATCTATTCATAGTGAATATAAATGAAAGTTGAAGGTTGAACATGACGCTTTGAATTAACATACAATCAAAAGCTAACAATCATGAATGAAAATCAATCTTAAATAAGGTTAATTTTTCATTTACAGATTGGTTGAATTTTTGATAGGAAAACAAATTTTTCCAATCTGTCTGTCACTTATTAGCCTAAAGTTGTTTCAACGAATCTGTGAATCATGTTCAACTGACTAGATAATCGAAGTTATGAAAAATTCTGAAAACGTACGCATCAAGGATTGATTCTCGGCAGCAATAGAGATTATCAAATTTGGTCTTTGTTACAGAATCATTGACATTCATTGCTGGAACAGTGAGTTTACCAGCTTTTGAAAGTTGGTACAATCGATGGACTCCAGTAACAGATTCTTCCACAATTCCTTTAATTAAATTGAATGCGGCTGGATATTTTTTAATTAGCAAATGAGTAGCATCACCTCCATCATCCAGAATCATATTTGGTTGCCATGATTCAGAAGAAATGCTTTTATCGATACACCACCAAAAATCTTCCTCTGTTTCTCCTTTCCATGCATAAATAGGTATTCCTGTCAATGTAAAAAATTCATGAGTTACTGATGCTCAAATAATTTATATAATTAGCTTACCAGCTTCAGCAATTGCAGCAGCAGCTTCATTCTGGGTTGAATAGATATTACATGAAGCCCATCGTATACTGGCTCCTAAGGCCACCAGAGTCTCAACAAGAACCTAAAAGTAGAAAAAAATGGTTGATTGTTTAAATGAACAAAACAATCTAAGCTGACTATTTTTAGTTATGAAAAATGAGCCATTGTAACGGTAAATCAAGAAAATAAATTATCACATAAATAAGTTAAAAAGATAAACGAAGACAAATGGCTTTATAAATAAGAACATGATTTGAGTTACTAACCGCTGTTTGAGCATTAATATGTGTACACACGATTATTCTAGCTCCTTTCAGGGGTTTATCATCTTGAGCTCGTTTCCTCAAGGCAATCAAACCAGGCATCTCTAATATGAGAGAGAAATCAATTTGAATTGAAGAATGAATTTTTGCAAATTTTGGACAAATTTCCAAACAATTTGTTGAAATTGAAAAAAACAAACCTTGTTCAGCCATCTCGATCTCTTTGCGACCATACGGGGCTTGTGAAATGTTTTTGACACAAAAATCAGTGAAGCCTTTCGAGGTTCGTTGAACTTTATCCCGAGGAGAGGTTCCGGTTTCATCTTCCGAGCTTGATTCTGTATAAGATGCTGTAAAAAGAGAAGAATTGAAAAGAGAAAAGAGAAAAAGAAATGAAAAACTGATTGAATATAATAGAAGCAATCAATAAATGAAGTAACTTGGAAGCTATTTTTAAAATGATAGTCATAACCGGAAAATACTTGTATGAGAAATCTAAATTACCATTACTCAGTTTACCGAGTGGGATTGTAATCAATGATGGACTACAACTTTTACTTTCAATGACCACAGTGGAAAAGCAATGAAGAATTCAAATGCATGATAATCGAAATATTATCAGATATTAGATACTCAATAGATGAGGATAAAAAAAATTGCACTGATAGCCTTACAATAAGCGATCATGATGATCTAGAATATCTATAGTACTTATATTAACGTTATTTAAGTACTCATGAATATAAATCCAAGTCAAAATAACCCATTTACAAAAAAATGGTCAGTTGTTATCACATCAGCTGTTTTGGTGAAAATCAATGCATGGATGATGCTTGAACTACACATAGATTTCTTCAACTAAATGTTATATCAGAATGAGGCTCAGGAGATATTAATGATGATGGAGATAGTGGAAAAGTAATACTTACAAGCTGATGAAGAGACGGATGTTGATGAATTACGCCGACTTCGGTTGGTGGTTTTTTCAAGACCGGTGGTCAACCTTCCTATGGGAAGACTCATTCGTCTTTTTTGTCGTTCCTTGAAAGATGGATAAAGCAACAAGGCCTCAGGAACCTAGTAAAGTTGATAATAATGGTAGTCCAAAACGGTCAACGATAATAACAAACCGAGAAATGGGTAAAAAAATACCAGAAAACAAATGCCAGGAGAGAAAATATCAAAAAAGCAATGAGAAAAGGGTATACAAAGTAAGAGAGTAGAAGCAAAGATAGGCAAGTAAGGAAGGAAGGAGAAACAGTGGAAAACTCAACAATCAAATTATAATTAACTGGATATATTGATAGAAGATAAAACTAATTAAATTAAACATGATGAATAATAAAGCCGATTGGGAATCAACAGGGTAACAATAAGTTGATAAAATAATAGATGATAACAATAATTACAAATAAAATAATTGAAAGGAAACTCGTTTTTCTTTCTTTAACAATGTTCACTATTATGCCAACCAACTTTCACTTCACTTGAACACACAACCAACCAAAATAAGTAAATCAAACCTGCTGCCATCCTCATGTCTTTCTTTACTTTAACCGTTGTACTTTTCAGTCTATTTTTCTTGTCGAACACTGATTATGCATGATAAATAGACATTTACTTAATATTACCATTTCAATTGTAGTTAAAAAATAGTGACTGGAATCATCAAAGGCTTGATATTTTCCGTTTTTTGTATTTGCCTGAATTTCCCACTCTATTGCTCTTAATTTCATCATTTTCACCATCCTGCTCAAACCGTAAGCGGGAAATTTTATTATTAATGTCATTTGAATGATTCCTATTCAAAGATTTATGATTTTCTATTGTTTAATAGCGTTCAATCATAATTATATTTCCATCTTAATGCATCTATGCAATTTATGAATAGATAATTGTGAGCACATGATTTTTTACGGACTTTAACAGTGAAGATGGAAAAGATTTAAGTGATTTCAAGAAAAATCATTACCAACGTTCAATTATTCACATATTTACTCTTTGTAAAAATCTCAACAATTACGAGTCTCAACATGACTTAAAATTTTGTCGGGTTTTTGAAAATACTAAAGGAGTAACTGGTAAAAATCAATCAGCATCACCAGACTTTTATATTATCATTTGGCCTGAAGCTTTTGAATTATCCATTTGATAACAATCTTGTAGAGTTAAAGATGAGAAGCAAGCTATTCCAATGAACAATAATTACTAGAAATTGTCAAATTTAATTGGAATTGATGACAATTTTAGAAAGTTCATTATTGATTTTACATTAATCTGGCTACAGAACTTCCATGAGCAGTTTGTGAATACTTTGGCCATGGATTATTCATTAATAAAACTAACCAATAGACAATCAAACAAACTGAAACTTAATCATCAATCATCAAATGAAAGTAAATCTTGTAACAGGGAAAACAATTCTCAAATCGAACAGTATTTCATTCGCTAGATGGCGTGAGTAAAAACAATTGGCGGTAAATCCTATGAAAATTGAATGAAATGTCTAATTCAATTTCAATTTACTTAAGTGTTAAGCAGATGATATAATAGCATCAATTAATACCAAACCAATCTAATTTCATTATTTCTTTCAACATAATTGATTTATTGTTTCCATTGTTTTCAATCCTTTTTATCCTTCAAGGATCGTGTAAACAAATCCTTCATCTGAGCAATTATTGGTGCAAGTGATTCTCAACATGGAGTAATCAAATTACCTATTTTTATAATTAATTGAAGTCGTAAGACTTTTTTACCTTTTCTAATTATATAAGCTCTATTTGCCTTTAATTTCATCAACCTGTTTCTCTAAGTGTTTTTATAATTAGAGCATGTGTTTCAACAGATCGTGTTTTGTGTATAAAAAAATGCCAAGACTGACTTGTTAGAGGCCTAACAAGTAAAATGGTGAGAAAAGTTGGAAAATGTCTAAACCTCAATTAACCTGAAGACATCATTAACAGATTTATTAATACTTTTCATCTCGTGTTTGCTTTTATTTTTCCGAGAAACCAACCTCCTTCATCATTTTCGTCATCATCATCCTGCTTCTTGGACGTCTTGGTGGAAATTATTTTGATTTAGTTCTTCAGATTATTATTTGAAAGATTTTTATTTATACGTTCGAGTGCTGCTAATTTTGGCAGAAACATAACCCATCTTCATCTACCATGAGTTATCCCGAAAAGGTCACCTGTTTTTCCTTCAATTTTACCCCCCTTTTCACTTACCACCAAACCTTGCATAATTTTTCTAGTCTTTATTGAGGTCAAATAATTCAAAATTACATTTATTTATAACTAAACCATTTTTAGTCTGGTAACACTTGATTTAAAGCAAACATCAATTTGGTATTACAACTCAAAGGACAACTTGAAAGCAAACAAACGAGCAGAAGAACGTAAGTTCATTAATCATAACCTTGTTACATGTTTTACAATTTTACTTCACCATAGTAACTGATGTATTTTTTTCTTGTCTTACCCCGTTAATCACAGTTTACCTGATATCAAATGATACCATTTTTGGCATAACATTGGGTTGGTTTTAACCAGGCAACAGATGGTGTAACTGGCAACATGGCAATTCTCTTAAGGAGCAAATCAATGTTAAATATTGACCCTGCCTAAGTGGGGTTACACCAGTTTTACATTTTTACAAATTACATCTTAACCAGCCCAAATAAAGGATTCATGCAACTTCAACTTCAAGAATAATTGGATTTACTATTCCTTCCCAAGAATCCTTGATCAAAATGGTCATAAAATTACATCTTCTAACATAATTACCAAACATTCAGCCAAATTTACCATGAAAAGATGATGAACACAGACAAAAGGAGAAACCATGGAGGAACACAAATTGTGTCAACCATGGTGAAACCAAGCATTGGAAAAAAATGAATAACCTTCATCATTATCATATAAATGAATATATTAACTATCAACATGACAGAATCACAGAAAGAATACACACAAATACAATTTAGTGGTAAATTTCAAAGCTTCACCAATTATCAGACAAATGCAAAAGCGTCCATTGATACATGTCTTAACAATTGGACAAAAAGGAAGACCAGAACATGGAAAACGAATTGACTATTCAAAAGGATTAACAATTTACTTCAAAGTTACAATCAAAAGCCAGACCCAGCTCCAGAACGGAACAACACTCCTGGTAATATGAAAGGTCAACAAATTCCGTTTTCCTGGTCAATCATTAAATCCAACCTTCATCTAATATTTATTATGATTCAATATATCATGGTGGATGGTATTGAATGTTAGTGTTATAATATAAATGATAGAGTTGGCGGATCAAAATTAATCAATCAAACAAAGAGAAACAAGTGGAAAGAAAATAAATCAACAGCAAATAATAAGGTGTGTTGATAAACTGAAAGTAAACACCATTAAATGTTTAGTGAATGGTTATTTATTAGGCTGTCTTTGGTATAAATATAATATCAATTGTCAACCTAATTTAATATCACAACATTTGGTGCTCTAAGAGGAAAAATGATTTAATATTGTTCTATGGAATAATTTCTTCTCACATCCGATCATCACCATTATTCTTATCATTAAATCACCTTACAATTCAACCAAAACACAGACAATAAAGGGTTCAACTGAAGGAATGTTTTAATGTTATAAAAACGGAAATCTTACAATATCATTGTAATATTTTCTAGATTTATTCAGGTTGATGTTATGAATTGCTGGAAATCGTTTCATTAACATTTAAATTGAAAAAAATTTCCCCACAAAAGATGAGCCTAATTCAGTATCGATCCGAAATTTGAGCTCTTTTGCTGCCAAATATATTTACCATTAATATTAATGTCGATTATTTATCGTAACTGATGAGTTTCATCTTTAACCATTGAACACGATTCCGAATGAAACTCAAGTTAATCACAAAGTATAACATTGACAAGAACCTAGAATGATGATGATACAATTAGCTGTATAAGTAAATATCAAGAGTAGCTTAGTTGGGTTAAAATTATGCTTTGTTAACATTTTACTCTCTTGATATCATTTGTTTGAGTTTATTGTTTGATCTTTCTACTTTTTCCTGGTTAACAAAATTTCCTGATGACAGGAACAAAAATTGTCAAATGATGAGTTAAATTGTTGACTATTGTAAATAAAGTCAACCTAAATACGACATGAAATGAATTAACAAGTAAACATTATCATTGGAAAGTGTAAAATTGAATTGTAATATCCAAATGTAATGAGTGATGGATATGTAACTCTATTCAAGGGAAACAAAAAGCTATTTTTAGCTCTACAATTGAACAATTATCCAGATTATTCAAATATTGTTACATTTGTTTGAAAGTCAGGATAATTGTGAAAAGTGTCATTCAAATGAAAATTGCTCTAATTTGAATGGCACTCTTCCCCAATCAATTAACATTAAACAAGAAAACTTCATTTGCAATGTTTATCAGGTTCAACAAATTTTTTGATGAAAAATTAATTTCGACTTTTCAATTTCCTTTTCAGGTTACAAATGATGATTCCAGGGTTGGATAAAAATTGCAGAACTTTACTTCTGCTCGCAAAATCAAGACAAGAATGAAAATCAAATTTGCTGCTTTAATGAACCAAAAAACCAGTAAACATAAGAAATGAAATTTGATGATGGAATAGGAAAATGAGCAACTTTTTTACCCAATTTGGAAACAATTTTTATCCAATTTCTGGTAAAAGCTTCAATTCTGGTTAAATGAAGACACAGCAATTGATCAAGACTTTTCCCAAGGAGCCACTAAACCAGATTTTGTCATTTCCATCAAGAAACTTGGCATTTAAATTTAATTTAACAAGGAATGCTTATGGATTCATCAATTAGAGTCTAAAAAATGGCAAATTAATTTGGGTTTCATTTCAAGAAAACTTGCAAGTCTTTTGAATGCCAGTGAAAAGGTTAATTAATATTACCTAAAATAACCATTAATCGATTGGAAGGTGATTAACATTATTTGCTTTCATCAACTTTACCAGTTGAACCGTTATGATTATTTAATAACGTTTACTTAGCTAATGAGAGAGCAAAAGGTGAAAAAAGGTTGAAAAATGAAAGGCAATTCAATTTAATCGTAATAAGCTAAGCAGTGTTTACCAGTTACTTGAATCATGTTTAACTTTAGTTTTCAGATTTAATCATTTTCCATCTTCCCAACCTCTTCATTATCTTCCTCTTATCCAGTATTAAGCACTAAAGTTAATTGAGTTTTGTATCCATTGAAGTGTCCAAAAGAAAGGCCAAGAAACTGATCAACTCCAAATCTCTTGGCCACTTGAATTACCTTTCCCATTGCCATTCCTTTTTATCCTCTTTATATCTTTTTCACTCGTCATCTAAATCGCCCTCTTAATCACTGTTTTTCACATCATTGATGCTGTTGACCAACTCAATCAACACTCGAGGTGTAACATTAGTCAAGAGATGTTTCAGATTTCAGTTGATCATCCAAGGATCCAAGATTAGTTTGAAATTAAAGTGAAACATGGACCGATTCATAATCGATTTAACACTCTTCTCGTTTACAATATCAAGCTGTTAGCAAATTATCTTTTAATAATAACTCAGGTTCAAGTAATTTCAGGTTTCAAGAACATTAACTTTTCCAGATTTATCTTGAAATGTTTACAATTGTTAAAGGCGAATCTTGCAATTTGAAAATGGAAAATTATTCTACAAATTTTTTCTCAATTTATCAATAATGAATAGACTCATGGAATTGCATGGAAAACTTACGTGAGGGAAAGGAAATGTTCATTCAATATGATTATGATATTCTGAATTGCTCAGTGTTTAGTTGACTGCAACTAATCTGGAAAGATGGGAAAAAAATGTTGGTCTATTGAAGGTAAAGTAAATGATTAGAAGTTGATTGTCAGATTTGATTAGTATTTTCAGCATGAGAGTAAAGTTCATTTGGAAGCTCTAACATTCATGCCTATCCAGAAGAATAAACAATTTCCTGAGATTGCAGAGCATCAATAATTATCAGAGCCACAAAGAAAAAACGAAACTCAATAGAATGTTAAGAATCAAGTTTGACTTTTATTGTTACAGGGACTGAACAGAGTTCATCTTTAAACCAAAAATGCTGCATTTAGTCTGAATAAAGACTTGCATTCTTGGCTTTATCCAATGTTTTTATAAACTTAATTTTTGGTTCATTTCTAGCAGAAGGAATTCCTGGATAGGAAATTTCTTTATCATGTTGATCATGATTAGTATTCCTACAATCCCAGTCTGTAATAAACTCTTGTCGGGTCTGGGACAAATCAATTTAAAACAATTTCTCTGATAGAAAATTATCTTTTCATAGAAGGATAAAGACCAAAATAATAGGGTGAACTATTTAGCAAGCAATTTTTCGTTATGCATAAATTATGTGTTGAATTTTACACTAAACTCATTACGCTTATCCATTCTTCAAAATGTTCTGTTTTGTGATATCGTAAAAATGTAAATGCATGAGAACTAGTTCATTTTAACTGACTGAAACCAACGCAATAAAATGGATTAGTTACAGTTTACCCTGAAAAATGAATTAAACTGATTTATTTTGATCTGCTAGTTCGCAGTATTTAAATATTTTGAATTTAAAATCGCAAAGTGCTACGATTTCATTTCTTGAAAATATGTTTAATTGTGTGAAATAAAGTTTACAAGAGCAATGAATAAAAATTGAATGTTATGGAAACACTTTTATCCTTTGGTCTGCATTAGTTATGAACATGTTGCAAACATCAACCTATCCGAAGCATTCGAAACTCACGGAAAATGACCTTCAAATTTCATCTAAAGGTCGAATAAGGACCTTGAGTGATCTTGAGGGTTTAAAACTTATGCTTCTTCAATCTGCAAAAGCTCACGGTTAACAATTTTGGCGCTTTTGAGTGAGTTTCGATAATGATACTAATTCTAATTGTGGTTATTTGCATGCTGACTAATCATTTCTCAAAATGAGCGCTGACAATATCAATTCTGAACAAAGTAAGTTTATTTATGTTGATCAATCAGGTGACTAATAGCCTATCAAATGCATTCCCAGCTGTGATCAAACTGAAGCTGAATGGTGAAGATTATCATGAGATCTAGGTCAGACGATCGCTCGCCGAATTCGGTCAGCGATGACTTGATTTGAGCTGATTCATTATTCACGACATCGAGCTTAATCGTTGCGCATATAATTTATATTAATATTATTATATTCCAAGCGTTCTTTAACTTTTAGAGGGTTTTGAGCTATATTTCGATAACTAAACTTGACATAACAATATACTAACAATATACAATAACAATACATAACAATATATATAACTTGACATATTTTTTTATAAGAAAACTCCATACTAAGTTGCAAATCATTTCTTAAAGTGGTTTGTCTGTTAACATGTTTACAAGCAACCAAAAAGTGAATTGTCAAAATGGCATAGCTGAGTAACAATCTTCACTTCGCTTTGCTGCGTTCCGATGATTAAATTTGGTTTTTATAGCAACGGTTTCATTTATTCGTTTAAATGTGAATTTAGATTAACATTAGTTGAGTTGCAATCCTGGCTTATATTAATTTCCATTGCAATTTGATTTCCTTCCCGAGTCTACAAAAAAATGAATTGATGAAAAATTGTACAATATCTTTGACTATTAATGCTAAGCTCTCAGATCAACTAGGAACTTGAAATTTCTCCATACAAATTTCTCATGTATTTTTTTTGCTATATTTCAAGTTCAAGGTTATAAAGGTCGTAAAGGTCGTAAAGGTTATAATGAATCGCTCTTGATGCTACTAGAGATCAAACTTGATAGTAACATTTGCTTGCAGCAAAAGTTAACCGTAAACGTACTATATCAGTATAATCTTATAACTTATTGAATATCATAAACTAATTATTACCTAAGAGCAAAGATAATAATAAAATAGATTTTGTTCACCTTCAGCACTTTTCTCTCGAGTATTTGAGGAACAGTTTCGATACTGAATGGCTTGATACTTCGTCAATATGTATTATCTTTGATTGATGTAAGAACTGAAGAGAGATGATAAACGATTAATATTGAATTCAAAATTTGCTTTCCAACGAGAACTGATTTTACCATGAAAGCTTATTGCCTTTGTTTCTTTTGTTTCTTGCTGTCTTATAATCCAGATTAACTGAATTGATTCAAAATCTTAATCATTCAATGTTCCATAATTGACTAGCTGCCAATGAATAAACAATAAATTAATATAAACATGAAAACATATTGAAGTAAAATTTCACTTCAGCCTTCATCAAAGACTCGATTTAACCATTTTTGAACAACCCAAATAAACTTAATTGTTTCCTCCAACAATTCTTATATTGGCTCTTCAAATATTGAAAATTAATCGACCATTTAATTTTGCTGAATAAATCAATTCTTCAAGTGATAGATGAAGGACTCGAAATTTCAAAGCATGATTAAAGGTGTTAAAAAAAGATGTAAACATTTGAACCTTGAACAAACTGGTGAAACTCAACATGAGCTTAGCAATGAAACTGATTTTTGCTGGATCATTCCAAGCGAGTTCATTTCACATCAAACACACAACTCAATTGACAATCGGACATTGGATAAGTTTATTGTTTACCATGTTTTTTCATGTTCAAATGGATTTTCTCAGTTTTCATTTAAACTCCAAAATAGAGTGCAAAACCTGGAGAAGAATAAGAAAAGGCAAAACAAGAAAAAAAGAGGAACCAAAGAAAACCAGAGAAAATGAAATTCAATTCAAACCTGAAAAAAACCTAGACATTGATTGAAGACAATGAAAGAAGATGAATAATGATAAACAAGCAAGAAAACAGGAAAACAAAGGATAACAACATCTTGTTCACCATGTTCATCATCTTTCACCATGTTGAGAAATTGTTCACAAAATGATTGTTTTTACCTATTTTTACTTGGAAACAAGTTCGCCAATCACAATAACCATGAAGAAGAGGAAAGACATAAGACTTGAAGATTAATGATATTTTTATTCAACTAACATTTACTGTTACCGTTTTTAAATTTTTCACACTTTAATTTGTTATCCTTTGCACACTTTTTAATAACAATTGATTGAACTGTTAAACATGCATCATCATTAACTCATCAACATCATTCACTTTTGCTTCAACTATTGATGAAGAGGATGAACGATGGATGATGATGATACAATGAAATTTGAAGATCAAGAGTAAACTGAGAGTTTTGTTTTCTTTTTTGTTTTCCTTTTCCATCTTCTTTCCTTTTCTCCTGTTTACTCATGAATTCAGTTGAAATGGTTTAAAGTAATACATAAAGGATGTAACATTTGAAGGTGAAACCCATTAACTAAGGAATCATCCAGGTAAATAGAGGGAAAAAGAAGGCGATCAATAAAAAAGTGCAGAAAAACTGGTAAATTTTGGTTCCAATAAAGATTGATGGTTGATTCTCAATGGATTTTTGGCAAACTTTTCATCTCCTTAACCATTTAAATTGTCATCAAGAGACTTTTTTCAGTTCGTTTTTTCCATCTATTAATATTTATTTTCAGTTGTTTCTCTTGTTTTATTTGTAATATAACATATAAACTCGAGGTAAAAGTCATCAACAGAGAAGAAGAAAGAAAAAATGATTTCTTTTATTCATCAATGAATCGTAATTCTTCCATTGGAATGCAATGATGACAATGACAACTCATTCCAATCAGTATAAACGATTGAAAATTGTGACTTTCACAAGTCACTTATCTTTGGCCAGATTTAGTTCAATCCATTTCATGGATTTATCTTTCATTCAAAAGTCACTTTCAATCAATACAAATGATTTTCATTATTTCGATTGTTGAACATTCATCTGCAAGAACTTTGCCCGAGTTGCCAAAAATTTTGTAAACCTTTTCACATTTTATTCATTTATTTATTGGAAATTTTTCTTTTTCAGAATCTTTTTTCTTCCATCGAAAACTGGATTCAATCTTTCACTGGATTTCCTCACAATTGAATATTTACTCAATTTTCTGAGCGAACATGGAAAGTGAAATTTTCTCTCTGAAAATTATCTGAATGTAGACCACTCAAGGTTTAGAAGATTTTCAAATTTTGGAAATTTCTATTTACTGATTCGCAGTTTCCATCCAAGTTGACCATTTAATTGAACTCTAGACTCAAACATTGCTTGTATCTTTGCTTCTTAGATCGATAGTTTGCTATTACAACTTGATAAGTGCTTTGCTTCAATTGTGGCTTTGATTAACAAAGTCACAATTTTGATTAAATTTTGTCCTTTTTCATGTTAAAGTGTCTTTTCAATGGCAACTTTCAATGAGTTTTATTCACAAAAATTCATTTTAAACTCTTCACTTGCAACCATTTAAATCAACTTTACCAACAATCTAGAGCCATTCATTGACTAGCCTAATAAATTTAACCTAAACTTGTTTCATCTCAAGTCGACTCTTGACAGCATTTTTTGAAAGATGAGTTAAAAGTGGTCTTCTATCACCAAATGGTCTAATTTGATTATCATTTACTGAGTTTAACCAAAAAACCTTTCCAACCATTTTCAAGATGACATTTTTCAACTTTGATGAAATAAACCTTCACCACAACATTGTCATCTTTCAAGACTCAATAACAATGAAAAATAATTGAACTTGAAGCCAACAAAGCCACCAATCATCATCTTTAATTGTCCATGCTCGTCATGAACCATTCTAATTCCCTAATTTGCTCGGATTAATGAGATACTGTTTACTAACTAATTGGCAGTGTTTCCATCAAATGTAACAAAATATCGTCAAAAAATGTCTCGAGGTTGTGAACAATATTGTTTCACATTGACTCGTGTTAAAAGCACTAATTGCTAACATTCATTTGCAAGCTGCCAAGTTGATTATTGACAGTTTTCTTGCTTCTTCTCTGTTTTTGTCAATCAGCCAATTGAACTCGAAATTTGATTCAATTTTTGACCATTCAATTCGTCTAAACGATTCTGGATAAACATATTTTTCTGTTTTTGGTTTTCTGACTTTTGCTTGGTTTCATGAGAAACCTCATCATTGAACTGTTCATTGTTCATTTGTTTCAAACATGAAACTAATTGAGTTGAAGTAGGCAAGAGTAGGATGACAAGAAAGGTTAAAACATACAAAAGATGACAACTTGTTTTGTTAATTCGAACTCATTTTCACTTTATTTTCAATCTTTTTTTCTTTTTCTTTTTCTCCTCTTTTCCACCCTGTTCCCTGATTTCCATCTCATGAATTTCACAGTCAAATCGATTGAATAAAGGTACTTTCATCTTTCCATTAGCAAGTACACTTGAAGATAGAAGAGTCGCAAAGAAGAAAAATGTTTAAGTGGAAACAAATCAAACATGAAATGTCATGGAATGAAAGAATTTACAATTTTCTTTTCACCTTTCATTTCACTTCTCATTGTCAAACCTTTTCCTGGATTCACTTGAAATTTCCTCTGTGAATGGAAAAAGAAAAGTACTCTTTTTTTCTTCAATCATTTTCTCAGTTCATCAAATTTTACTTTCATTTTTTCCCTCAAAAATCTTTGATATTCAACAAAAGGACAATGAAAATGGCATGAAAAAGTCTTAAAATGCATTTCAAGTTAACTATTAAAAAGTGAAAAGAAATGTTGATCTTTTTTTCAACCAATAATGCAACTTATGCTAAGTCAATACTAATGAGTGTAACGGGTTAATCTTGGTTAATGTTGTTATTAACTTGCTTCATCAACCACAATCCAATTGATTGTTAAAAGGTAAACCAAATTAGGTTATCCAATTACGCTTATTAATTCCCTAGTCTTGAAACTTAATCACATTTACAAGAATAATAATGAAAAAGAGATTTGGTTGAAAGGTATGAAGAGCAGGAAAAAAAATGTCTGAAATGCAGAGGAATGGAAGGCGAAACAACTCGGAATTTGTTGATTCTCACTGAGCCTTGATTCACCAAGAGACTTGTAAATTGTGTTACAACAAATTGCATGTGAATCTATTGATGATCCAAAAAGGTGTATCAATCAAAGTCAAGTAATCAAAATGTAAATTAAACTGGAAGAAAAAAATATGCAAAGCAAAGTGAAGGAAAGTCAATAAGCTAGTGACAGCTACAATTAATGACTTTACAGAGTAATTAATTTGTCGACAATTGAGGGAACAAAAATGAAATTAAAAAATCTGTTCTAATTCATGTGTTTGGAGTAAACTTTGAAAGCAATCATTTGGCTAATCAGAATCCTCCATTTGGACCATTAAAAGTGAAACATTGTCCTATCCTTGAATGATTATGGTTTGTTACCCAGATTCAACCCAAACTAGATCATCTATTTTTACTGATGAAGCATAGATGAAGATTGAAATGCTCAATATAAGGAGGAGGATGAAGATGGAAGAAATGGAAGATGAAAAGGTTAAAAGAAAGAGGAAGGATGATAAAGATGATGATGATGGGAATGGTGGAAATGGTGTAAAGGGAAAAAAGGCAAGACATGAGAGTACAATGAATGGGAAAAAACTGAGACTAACAGTATTCTGTTGGATTCTTGTTATGGGTCGATAAAAATGTTACAGAAAAGGAAAGTAAACGTTGTTATAAATACCTCATGTCCTTTAATACTTTTCAATGATTCTCCTTCCATTGATTTCGCCTTTGATTGATCACTGATTTCACCAATTATATTGACGATTGATTGAAAGTTGTATGCAAAGAGTTGACACCTTTTCACTATTGAGAATTTACTTTAACAATTCAAAGGTTTACTTGAGATTACTTGTGAATCCACAGAATTTCAATAACTTTGAATTTTCTCAATTTTTCAATTCTACTTTTGTTTTACAGTTGGTTAAGCACTTGATCAAGAATGCAAAACAATTGTATCTCAATAATGGCTGAGGTAATGATGAAACTTTGGATAAAGAAAAAGGTAAAATATTTTGGTTGATTGTTTGGTTCAATGACAAACTTTGTTTGATGTTGATGGCAATTGGTATTGTTTGCGATGATTGTATCGATGCAAATATTAATGATGAGAAAGTCGATGATGAAAATTTTGGGTTAATCTTTTCGATTCAATTTTTTATCTCTTTTTTCACTCTTTTAATGAATCGTTTGATCGTCTTTCAATCTTTTTTTACTCTCTGTTGTTGTTTCGTCCTGAACACTGGACACTGTATAAAGTGAACTCTTTTAGCTTCTCAGAACAAATGTCATTGATTACAGCATCTTCTCTATCATTTTCGTGTTCTCTCTCTTTCCTTCTCTTTCTCTTGTTTTTCCTCTGTTTTCATCTGAAATTATCATCTCACCAAACTTTTCCTGGCTCTTTCTTTACTCTATCATCATCTCCGTCTTTTTGTCTCTAAACTCTCTGTCTCTCTCTCCTCACTCCCTCTCAAATGCTCAGTCAGTTGTTGGGACACTCTCAATGCGAGCTCCTTTTCTGAAGATGGGAAAAGGCAAAAAAACATATTTCAACCCTCATTCAACTCTGAATGATTTTTTTTCTCCATAACTTTTTCATCCTCAAAGCATCATGAAAAAGCTTCTGCCATCTATAGTCTTTCAATCAACTTTACCAGCAATGGTTAGGAGCACAGAAGACTTATTACTGTTACAGTTGATTCGTGATTTCAGCTTGTCACGAAAATGAGGATATCGTAATTTCAAACGGGTTTAATATTCAAGTTATTATCTAATAACAAACACATGTTCGACCAGCAGAGTTGACATAACGATTAATAACTGATGCTACTGCTGATACTGCGGCCGCTGAACTTGAAGCTGCTGTTGATGATCTTTTTTTATTATCCGTTTGGAGATTGAGCACTTGACAAAGATGAAATTGGTTAAGATAGAGACTAAATGATGTAACTAAAAATGATAAAGATGAAGCAAAAATCTTTTTTGACAAATTGGAATAACAAAATGTGCAAAGGTGCTTCATCTTCATCTTATTCAATTCAATCTTCATCAACTGTTAAATCTTCAACCGGATAGGGTGGTAAGAATACGCAACACGTGTTAGTTAGTTGGATAGCAAATGATCGCGTATTTTTTATTTCATTTTAAGGAGTCAATAAGAGGTCAAAAATCTGCATGACCAAGAATTAGCTTGAGAATTTGCTCTTATCGTTTTTCAATTTGCGGAAGCTCATAGTCCGTAATCGAAAGTCTTTAGCGTCAATCTTTCGTGCTTTATGACTGTAAACAGACGTCAGGTTAAAAAACGTCCAGTACATTTAATTTGAGTTCATAAATTTTTGCTTAATAAACTCGTCCAAATCAATCAATAGGTTGTCATAAATCAAGAAACAAACATTTTAATCAAAATATCTTGATAAACAGTCCTCATGAATTCAACGATTGAAATGGTGACGAGTAACAATTTTTTCAGAAAAATGTAGACACAATGACTAAGTTAGAGATTAAAAAAGATTAATAGGTTATTCTTATTCATAGCGAAAAACTTACAGAATATTTTCAATTAATCTTCTCATTACATTGCTAATTCTTGATAAATTTTTTACTAAAAACAACAGAAGACAACAAAATTGCAAATAATGTAGATATGAAATCAGACGAAAAGAATCGTTGAATAATATTGATGAAGACGCAATTGTTCAAATATTGCTATGACATTTGAAGACTATTGTATCTAATACTATGGTTAATTGGTTGCTAACTATTAATACTTGTAACTTTTATGAACTAAATTCCAAAGTAAATACAGATAGTTGAACAAAGAAAAATTTTAGATTTTAAATTGAATAAGCTTTTAAGCAAATGGTAAAGTTGACTGTAAATGTTTATTCATGTTTTAGCAAACTCGTAACAACAATATGCATTTCCGCTTCCCAATGTGTTTGATCAGATCCCATAAAAATTACTATAAAACCCAGAACCTCGTCAATTGCAATCATATTATCATCTTGAGAACTCATCTCGCAAAGTTAAAAACGAATACTTTAAAATGTTTACTGAAATGTATCTATGCTTAATGATTCTTGCTATCACTATCGCTGATGGCCAGAGCCAGAGTGAGTATGGTGATAATGGTGCAGCAGCCGCAGCCGCAGCCGCAGTAGCAGCACAAGGTGGTTATGGACAGACTGGCAATGGGCCAAGGGGTGAGGGAGCAGCAGTGGCAGCAGCAGCAGCAGCAGCAGCAGCAGCAGTAGCAGCAGGAGCAGGAGCAGCACAAGGCGGTTATGGACAGAGTGGCAATGGGCCAAGGGGTGAGGGAGCATCAGTGGCAGCAGCAGCGGCAGCAGCAGCAGCCGCAATGAAAGGAGCAAATGTATATAAACAATGATGGTATGGTGCAGGAGATAGTGGAGCAGGATCAGCAAAGTTTAATACAGCAGACAAATTTGTAGTAGTTGTATCAATTCAATCAAGTGCTGCAATTGATGAAAAATGACTATTGGTCTGTAAATCTTACAATTAAGTGCTCTGTAATATTATAAGATATGAAATAAAGGGGCAGAAATTTAAAATTCAAGAAACCGCTTCATTTTTATCTTGCAGTTTGTATCGCAGCATGCTTTTATTATTTTCGTGAATATAAAAATTCGTTGCGTATTATTTGTTTTTCAGCTTAAGGCAAACAATAAACTGATTTTCCCAATGGTAAAGACATGCTTATTGCCTTAGTCGCGTTTATTTTAGGTTGGTGCTACACTCAATAAAACTCAGATGACTCATTTTCTTGGAGTCAGGTTCCTATCACTGCTGTTAAACTATCATTAAAAGGCTCTTAATCCAGAAGATTTGAAATAAATTTCTACTCTAATGTTTCGCTTATATATAGTACGTGAAATATTTGGCAAATTAGTTAGCTATATGGCGAATGTTCACTAAGTTTTCAGAAATCAATCTATTCTTCTGCTTAAATACAGTAATTTCCTGAGTATTTTGTTTTTCGGAGTTATGACATCTATGTGATCTTTTATTAGCATCAGTAAGGAGTACAAGATGAAGTCAAAATATGACTGTAAAACTTGATTTCCCCCTGTAGTTCACATAGAATTCAGAACTACAAAAAAACAAAAAACTCAGGAAATTACAGTAATCCCTGGTCAAAATGCGACTCTTTGGTTACAGATTTTCGTCTATTTTCAAGGCAAATTCGTGATTTTAGACATTGTGTCTTACTTGTTTACATCTTGATATTGAATATGATTTTCACATTTGTGTCTATTTTGTTTTGAATTAGTGTTAATTTAATGTTAATTTAATGTGAATTTACTATTATTTTGGACATATTTACACCGTGATCAAAGGCCTCTTGATTCTAGTAAGTAGGAATTATGATTATTTAAACACATTTGTTTCATATATTGAACTAAAGAAGGTTTATCTTTAGATGTGATTGGTAATTGATCATATATAATATTAAGATCTTGTTCAATTGGATTTTCTTCCTTTTCAATCATCTCATCAGCATAAGCATCGACTTTATCAACTTCACCAACAACTTATTCACCTTCAAACTCTCGAATGTAATGATGTAATGTGTCCAAAAATTTCTTACTGTTGATGGACTTACATCATGCCAAGCTTGACAAACCCAAATAACAGCATCTAATAAGCTTACACTTTCCAATTTTTCAAATAGATTCATGTTATTTTCAAAACAATTGGAAAATTTCTTGAATAAAAGGTTACTGTATTTATCCTTAGACTCCTTATGATGCCATTGTCAAGAGGTTGAAGGTGACTTGTTGTTCCTGGAGGAAGCCAGATAAATTCAATATTTGGATAATCTATTTCAAGAATTTTATGACCGCTGAAGTTATCCAATATTAGAGTAATTTTTTCATCTTTTTGTTCCAACTTTTCATTCCAATTCATCAGATAATTTGAGAAAATATGTTTTGTCATCCAAGCTGCTGAGTTATTTTTGTAAATGAATGGAAACTGATTCAATGTTTCTCTATTTGATTGAAAAACTCGTGGATTATTGAATCTACCAATAATGAGTGGATCCAGTTTATCACCATTTTGATTACAGCATAGACATATTGTTATGCGTTCTTTTGATATTTTGCTACCAAAGTGAGGTGAATTAGAAACAAAGAAGGTTTTACTTGGCAATTGACGGTAGAAGAGAGCTGTCTTATCAATATTTTATATATTTTTCGGTGGATTCTTAGTCATTATAGAAACAAACATTTTAATCAAAATATCTTGATAAACAGTCCTCATGAATTCAACGATTGAAATGGTGACGAGTAACAATTTTTTCAGAAAAATGTAGACACAATGACTAAGTTAGAGATTAAAAAGGATTAATAGGTTATTCTTATTCATAGCGAAAAACTTACAGAATATTTTCAATTAATCTTCTCATTACATTGCTAATTCTTGATGACTTTTTTACTTAAAACAATAAAAGACAACAAAATTGCAAATAATGTAGATATGAAATCAGACGAAAATAATCGTTGAATAATATTGATGAAGACGCAATTGTTCAAATATTGCTATGACATTTAAAGACTATTGTATCTAATATCTATGGTTAATTGGTTGATAACTACTTTTGACTTTTATGAACTGAATTCCAAAGTAAATACAGATAGTTGAACAAAGAAATTGTAAATTTTAGATTGCAATTTGGGAAACTTTTCAAGCAAATGTTAAACTTGTTTGAAATAAATTTTTATTCATGTTTAAGCAAACTTCTAACTTGTAACAACAATATGCATTGAGGGCGTGCTTTTCAGAACAAATACAGTAGATTAAACAAGGAAAAAGAAATCATAAGCATTTCCTTTTCCGAATGTGTTTAATCAGATCCCATAAAAATTACTATAAAACCCAGAACTTCGTCAATTGCAGTCATATCTTCTCAAATTGAGTCAATACGACAGAGACAGTTCAAAACGATAACTTTGAAATGTTTATTGTAATGTATTTAAGCTTACTAATTCTCGCTTTCACTATCACTGGTGGCCAGGGTGAGGCATCAGCTTCAGCCAACGCAGCCGGAACAGCGGTTAATGGTTATGGCGCAGGTAATGGCGGCCAAAGTGGGTATGGCCAGGGTGGGGCAGAAGAGGCAGCCGCAGCCGTAGTCGCAGCCGGAGGCTATGGTCAAGGCGGGTATGGTTCAAGCGGTGGTGTTGACCTGTATTCTAGGTAGCTGTGGCAGCCGGATCAGCAACACTCGCAGCAAACAAAGAATTAGTAGCTTGTAAATCAGCTCAGTAAAGTTTAATATAGCAGATAAATCAGAAGTTGTATCATTTGAATCAAGTCCTTAAAAAATGAAAAATGACTATTAAATGTAAATCTTGCAATTAATTGCGCTGTAATGTTAAAGGGTGTTCATTTAAGTTTGTCATAAATGCAAAAGCTGAATGAGCTCTATTGGGTGAAGATAATGAGGTTTAGATAAGAAATGGTCAGTCATCAACACCATCTAACACACAACACGAAAATTCTGACTTTTATAAATGATTTATGCCTTTTTTCTTGCGATATTCTGAATCTACATGCTTTAATCTACTTAATAACAATCTCTTTAAATTCCTAGCAACAAAAGTAGTTTATAATTAAAGAGTTTTAATTTTGTGCCAAATTTTCCGTGCATAGGTTATTGGGTTGTGAAAATCAACAATTGTAATTTACTTAATTAAATTTAATTTTTATAAATTCTTCAATAGTGTTGATGTTGATCTTTGTTTTTCTGTGTTCAATCTCTAACCAATAAAGCTCATTTACCTTTTGCCTTTATGACAAACTTAAATGAACACCCTTTATAAGATATGAAATAAAGTGGAAAAAATAAAAATACTAGAAACCGCTTCATTTTTATCTAAAAGGAGTGGTACCAAAAAATCTGACTTTCGAATTAAGGTTTATTTCGGGAAATAAAATTCTCTTTTTCTGTGCAACATATCACTTCGATTTTCAGCTAAACCTCCGCCATTCTGTGACCATGATAGCTAAAGATCTGCAACTTATTATTTGTCGCTAAAAGTTGTCGGTACACATCATCGATCGAAAAATTTTTTATTTATCATAGTTCTCTTGATTTTGGCTATTGGCCTGAATACTTTGAACCTCGACATCTCGCGAATGGCAGTACTCATAGTCACCATTCTTTAACTAATCATTAGGTGCTAACAAAGGCTACGTTAAATTTTTCACACGTTAAACGCACAGAAACAGAAAATTTTATTTGCCGAAATAAGTGCATTTTCTGTTTGTTTATCAAAAGTTATACCAGAAAAATAAGTTTGATTTAAAAATCTGATTCCATAATTGAACAAAAGGCGATCGAAGTGTTCACTTTGACCTCGATTCTCTCGAAAACTTTGGATCTGAGAATTTTTTAATGCTACTTATCGACTCAGTTTTTATGCCCCTAACAAACGTACAAAGTCTTAACTCGAAAGTCAGATTTTTTGGCACCACTCCTTAATTTAAAATGTTTTGTAATAAAGCATAGTGAATAATATTGTGATAGTTTCAAATTTGAAGAAATAGCCAAACAGAGGGAAAATGAAACTGTCTTGACTTATGAATAGGTTAAACATAAGCCAGCAAAAAATATTGGCCAGAATTTTGGCATTGGGACTTAAACCTTTGAGCTTCGATTGTGTATGATTAGCTCAAAAATGGTAGCACCTACAGGGAAATAGCGCTACACCTACCTAATTCTTGGTTGATTTCGGAGCACACATCATGTTTTTTTAATCTAAAGTGACTTTGCATCATTTATCGAGTTTCTCATGGACAACTCGTGTATTTTTTGTTTTTTGATCTTGATTATAGCCATTCAGGAAGCATCACATACAAAGATTTAAAGTTGATCAACCTCTCGGAGTATCTGATTTCATTGATTTCAATTTAACCATATAACATAGTTTGATTAAAATCCAATTTCAATTCAACTCGCACACAGTGTATTTACTCTTTGTTAGATGGCGACTCATGCAGAAAATATCCGTTTTTGTTAAGTCTGACTGCATTAGCCTTGATCATATCAAAACATATGACAATAAAATTCTTAACAATTTAATTTAATTCTATTAATGGATTTTTCAATAATTAGACAAATATTTCACAAGATTAGCAGGCCTTAATTATCCAATATATAATAACAAGAAACTGAAACTGACTGAAAATTTGGTAAATAAGTGAACTTTTTCGTCAACTATTGTTTTCTGAGAAATAAATGCTCTAAAGGATTAATATTAAAAGGATCATTCAAAGGCTCAACATCTTTTCGATTAACACTATTCGTAGGTAACTGTTAGGTGACTCAATAGATAAATAAATTGACTCGACTTGATTCATAAAACCATCAATAAATAAGATAAACTTGACTAAAAATTTACATTTCGTTTTCTGTTCACATGATGGCATGATGGTTCACTTTATCGAAACATCAAACTATATTGTTTAATATGAATCAGTTTCATAAAAATAGGGAACATTGTCCGAGATGATTAGTTGACTTGAGAAGCCTATCATTTATCATCTCTGAGTAACAGAAAAGTCGTGAAATATTCCAATTTCTTTATAGTTGAAAATGTCATCGATAATAGTTCCCATAACTTTTTGTTCAGTAATTATGTATTCTATTTCGGTGTTAAATGAGTCAGTCAGAAAGAATATTCTTGTACCTTGAAAAAGCCTCAATCTCAATCTCTCTTAACATTTATTGAGTTTTTGTAAAGCAACGAAATCTACGGTTTGAGCAGCCCTGAATGAAACAAAAGATTGGATCACGAAGAGCGCAAAAATCAGAATGATTGTCAAACGCACAGGCTCAGATCAATTATAGACTTAATGATCTGTTTCTCTTTCAAATCGGAAACAACCTGTGAAGAAAAAGTTGAAAAGTAAAAAAAATTATCCGCTTGTGAAGGAAAAGCGAAAAAGAAATGAACGAAAAAAGATTAGGATTTTAGTTGGAATTTACTTTATGATAATATTATACCATTAAAGTGATAATATCATCATTCATATTTACACTCTCTAACCTCAGTAAGAATTGACTTTGACTCGGTCGCCATCATCACATCATCATCGAGAGCATCATCAGCATCGATTATTATTATTAAAAGGAGAGGGAAAAATATATATAATGTTGGCTTTTGATCCAACTTGAAACTTGTTTACTGCAAATGGTGACAATTTTCAGGCGAAAGAAAAAGAAAGAAAAGAAAAAAATGGTGAAAAAATTCATTTTTTACTTGACCATTTCCTAAACCATTGACAGCGCAATAAAACTTGGAGTGAAAACTCCCAGATCATCAAATGATATAACCATTTGGTAGCCTTTGATATCGAATTTGAAATGAAGATTGTTTCTTTTGCTTTTCAAAAGCAGAGAAAAATAAAGTTTTGCTCAACGTTATACATTCCTGATTCATGAAAAAATTTCAGTGTAAAAGGTAAAGAAGATGAAATGCTGGGAAGAAACAAAAAAAGACTGAAAACAAGATGAACGTTAATTTGGTTCAAATCAAATCTCACCGGACTTAGGCTGGTCAATTTCACTCCAAAGTTAAGGTTAACTTTTCAAGATTAAATCATCAACAAGGCAAGGCTCAATGGAATAAAAAGACGGACTGAATTATACAATTTTAATGGATAAAACATGGGCAAAACTCGGATAAGATGCGAAAAAAGATTCAACTTTTGGTTCGACTTTTGGTTCAACTTTTAGTAACTGAAAGTACATCAGCTTTGGTGTGAAGATGATGAAGGATGGCAACATTAAAAAAGGTTAAATTGATGACAATTCACTTTGTCATTCTTTACATCTCGAGCTTCAGATCTTCGAGTAATACTTGGTTAGTTTGGGTTAAATTATGGGTCAAAGGAAAACCCAAAAGAGTAGAAAAAAATGTCCATATTTTGTTGATTCTTGATCCAGTTGGCTCAATCACAATGCGAATGGACATTTATTGGACAATTTATTTAATTTTGCTTCTTCTCGGTCAACATGTTTACACCAATTGGTTGACCATTTATCGTTTATTAGCACAATTTGATTCTCAGTTACAGTGAAAAGGTTGACTTCACTATTTGGCCATCATTATCATGAAGAAGTGAAACAAGGAAACAAAATTCCAGTTTCATTGCATGCAATATTTACACTGATACAGTTGATGTTGCTATTCATTTGGAATAATGTAAGAAGCAAAAAATGACTTTTTTTCAACATTTTTTTACTTATTACTTTTATTGCTCCAATTAATTACAGATTTTCGTCTTTTTTTCCATCCAAACTTTTTCCATTTCCATTTTGTCATCAAAAATTCAATTGCAATTCTTGCATTCAATTTCCATTAAATCATTTTTGTTAACCAACTTCAACTAATGATCATCATGTTAGTTAATAAATTATCATTCTAATGAGAAGCAAACCCATCAAGTTTATAATAATCATGGAAAGGTAAAGACGAATGTCGGATCAACCTTTCCCTTTGCATTCAACATTAATTGATCATCTCAATTCTAATGACAAAAACTTTATTAGTAAATAAGATTCCAAAGATTATCAATAAACCATGAGAAATACAAGAATCATGAAGAAGAGGAATGAATGATCATTAAATCGTGATTTAGTTTTTTAATTAACAACCAAAAAAGATATTCCACAAAACTTGCAAAAACTAGAGAAGAGTTGAAACATTTGCTTTGCAATTCACCAGAAAATTGTAAATTAGATTTGGTTCGAAGATGAAATTTTGCAAAAAATGAATCTAGAGAAAATGTTTCTTATTTTCCAATTTTAATGATCTTGAATGAACGTCAGCAAATGCTGATTATGAATCGATGAATCAGTAAAGTGAAACAAAGTAAACCAATTTTTATCTCTTTGTCTTTTTCGGCTCATCATGAAAGCTTGAAGGCTTTTTCAGCTAATTTACTTTCAAATTAGTCTGGATTGACACTATTTTTGCTTCTCTTTTTGCTTTACATTCAATTTGCCTTGAGCTTTTACCAAATCGCTCGTCCCTTTGCCACAGCCTTTGCTCATGTTCATTTGGTGGGAATGAAATTGAAATAAACTTTAATCAACTGCAAAGGTTTAGTTTACGAACAAGAAAAATTGATTGATCTCAACTTTTCAAGTCAATTTGCTTCAAATAGTCATTATTTGCACTTTTCAATACTCGAGCTTTTGTCATCATTTAACAGTTTTACTGCCAGTTATTAAGGTTATCATTTTAATCAGAATACAAAAGACAATTTAGTTCAACTTGCGTTGACTAAACTTGACAATGGCAACTCTCCATTGAGAATTGGGACTAATGAGAAGGAAATTCAATTGTAAATGAATAATACAGTCTGATAGATACTCGAATGTTTGTCAAATTTTCTTTTTTATAATTTTCTTTTCTCACGACTTTTCTTCTTACCAAGTTTAACCAATTTACATGGAAATTTAATCTACTCCGTTGACTGTAAATATCATTTCATGTCAACTTTCAGTGTTAACCAAAAGTGTTTAGTTTGTGTCAAGTTTACAGTCCAATGGTTGGAAAAACTTTTGCTGACGAATGCAGAAAAGGAAAACATGAGAAAATTCATGAAAAAGATACTTTTGATACTCGTAAATGGAAACAAAAATAAGAGAAACTGATTTCTCGAAAAAATATTTAATAAAAGGTAAAGTGATGTCAACAATTTGATTGGAAAAAACAATCAATCATTCAAAGAGAAATTTAATGATTCGATAACAATTTGAATTTCAATTTACATTGTAATCGAATGGAGCGAAAAATGCAAAACTTCGAACTCATTCTCGACTATTTTCAAGATAATTTATGAATGCTCATTGAGAGTGAATTATTGATAATTAAGTCTTTTTGCAACGAAAAGAGAATCTGATATCGAATATTCAAGTGCAAAGATCGAAATTGGATTTCAAGAGTTGGTAAAGAGATGAGGTGAGGTTGGGTGAATAAAATGAGTCTAGAACAGGGAAAAAAAGAAAAGAGAAAAAAACGAAAATCGAAGGTAAATTTCGTAATGTAAACTAGTTTAGTCGATTGAATTAACGAAAGGTTCAAATTGAAGTGAGTCTTTGAATTTGTGATGCAAGTTTGATTCAATTTTCACTCTTTTCCTGTAACTTGCAACCATTACATTTGATTTGATGTTGAACGAAAGGAAGAAAAACTTGAATCTGAATATGCCATTTGAATAAATATCACAACTTTTCACAAAATTTTCATTCTCATTTAATATTCTTTTAACCCTTTTTCGACACCTTTTCACTTTCTCTTTACACAAATAATTTCTCATTCCAAGTTGACTCTCGACATCTTACAGACTTTCCATGTTTTAGAACTGGTGAAGAGAAAAGAAAAAAAGTAAATCAAAATTTCCATGCAACTCGAGTGCATTTACATAAAAAAATTACACTTTCTTACAACGAAAATCACAGAGTGACGAAAATTTTGATTCAACTTGTATCAACTTGAAGGTAATTCAATAAAAGGAAAGCTAAATGGTTTATTTGCGTTAATTGAACAAACCTTTTCTTTTCGTCAAACTCGAAAGAAGTGAAATCGTGAAAAGAAAAAGTTTTGTTTACAATTTAAGAGTAACTCTATTTGCTACCAATCATCAAACTAAATAATATTTCAACTGAAAATATTACAACAAACAGAATTATCTATTTATCATCTATTCCATTATTTATGATTTACTTTTCCTATTAAATTCAGACAAATCTCATTACATTTACTTGGCAATAAACACCAATTATTGCTCTACATTCACCTTATAACAAGATATTTACATTTTGATTAACTTTCACTTTCAAAGAAAATTTGAAATTCAAAGTCGATAATTGTGACTAAAGAAATAAAAAAGTTTTCAACAAAAATTCCAAATGGTTTCAATTTCGAGCTAATTGACATGGACAAGTGCAAGTTGAATAGCAAAATGAAGAGCAAAAAACTTGTAAAAAGGTTGAAGATGATGAGAAGAGGTAAAAGGCGAGAAAAAGAAGAAAATATTTCATGTTAATAAGGCAAGAAGAAGAGGCAATATTAATGGTTTTTTTGGGTTACCTCATTACCTGTTGGTGCTCATCATCAAGTTAATGGAGTGAAAACTGTTTTCGGTCTGTTTCCAGTGGATAACTGTTGTAAGTATACTTTTACTGATCAAATGTTTAACCATGAATATCGCTTTGGACACACTTAGATAATAATGTTGCAAAGTTACATTGTAAGTTTGGAGTGACAACAATAGTGGAAATGGTAAAATATGAGAAGGAAAAGTTTCAAGAAAAGTATTTCAACAATGAAATGCTTGGAGACGAAAAGAGAAATGAAGAAAAGGAAAAGAACCGAAAATCATATACAATGTGATTCGATGGTGATAATGATGAGTTGAATGTCACCTCAAGAGAAGAAAAATGAAAAAGAAAATGACAAAAATTTTCTCTCTCAAGGTATACCTGTTGTTGATGTATTTTCCTCTTCTTCTTCTTCTTCCCATTCCAATTTTCATTTGATTATCCTGCAATTTTTTATTCCTTTTTTCACCAGTTTTTCCTTTCCTGTCCCAGTCATAATCAACTCTGTTCATGACAATTTCCATGATCCATTTCAAGATTGAATTGGTATTAATCTCGAACTTTTTTTTCTTTTCTTTTGGAATCAATGATCAACTGCAACATTTACTTTTACTATCATCAGAATCATCATCATGTACAAAACCTTTCGATTTTTGGTTCCATATTTTTCAATCTCTCATCGTTTCTGTTTTTTTTGTTTCTTCAATTCCTTCAACTTTACAATGATAAAATCACCAGGGAAGCCAAATGCACAGATATAAATCATTTTAAGTTTTGTTTTTACTTCAATCTTCAAAATTACTTCGATATTTGATTTACTTTTTTTTGTCTTTCAACTTTTCCCTTTCTTCTTTTACGATTAGTTGAAATGATTTTACTACATTTTCCACCTTCTCATCGTTAAGCAAACTCTACTTTGAAAAGTTGATCTCTTTTCATATCAACTTGAGCACTAAACAAACAACTCAGTGACATTCATCTTTTAATATGAAAATTGTCTACTCGAGCTGTGAGTAATGTCAGGACAAACAAGAAAACAAATAAAATTAATACACAGTTTAACATGAATATGGATGGCAACTAGATTCTGGTCAACATTCCCTTCCAAGTAGAGTCAATGTTATCCTTTTTCACGGTCAAAATGTTATTTTGTTTCAGCTTTCAGTTGAAAAAGATAAAGTAAACTGGAAAATCTGTAAATAAATATGATGAGCAAATAAGAATACAAAATGATGATAAAGTGAGACAAAACAAGAAACTCGTAAGGTTGAATAAGATGGAAGATACTTTACCTTTCAAAATGTAGAGTTTTCTTGTAGATTATTTATTGATATTAGTAACTATTGACGCGAGGACAAGATGAATATCGATGTAAACACTTCTGTTGTCAACTGAAATTGACTCGATTATTGCTCTATTTTAGATTAGAATGAAAAAGAAAGATTTCTGTTTGGATTGGACTAATTTTTGGAAGGATTTTTCGCCAGAGATTGATTCAATTTCTATTCATTTCAAGATAGATTAGTTTTTTGATTGAATTTATTGGCAATCAGTTTTTGATACAATTTGTTTGTTAATTTATTCTGGATTCGTATTTGGTTCATTATCTGACTCCATTCTCATTAAACTATTTGCTTTAAGCAATATCTTTACGTGATGTCGACTTGTTTTGACCAAATTTTATTTTCATTTTCTCGGTTCAATTTCAATCTGTTTAACTTAATTTTGAACAACTTTGGAAGTCAATTTATAAAAGTAAATTTTGGAAATAAAATCAAGACCTGAAATGACTCTTGAACAATCATAAGATTCGAATGGATAATTTTTAGTCTTTTGTATATTCTTTATGCAAGCTTTTCAGGATAAATCGTTCTCGTCTCATTTGAGCTTAGATGCTCTACTGTTGCAAAAGCAATGATTTTACTGAAACTATTCTGGCAAGTTAATACTTCAAACTTTGTTGATAAATTTTTAAAAATGTATCCAAATTTTGTTCGGTCAACTCGACTCCTTTAATTATTAAACGAATAATTTGTTTGCGGTTTCAGGTGAACATGGATTGGTGTACAACATGATTAATTGACCTTTTTAACAGCACAGCAAAACCAATGTGGCTTTGTGTTTGTTTCATTTGATGACGATTTATAGCAATGTTACAATTTTCGTCTTTACTATTCAAGTTTCCTGGCATTGTAAAGACAGAAACAAAGCGATCCAAAAATTCCTGCAATTTAGGTAAGCATTAGTATTCCCATTTGTTTGATTTTATTCCAGTAATAGACCAATGTTACTTTGTCTTTCCTTGCATTGGTCACTCCATGTTTATCTCAAGAAGAAGATGAGGAGAAGAAAAGAGCCAAAAAAGGCAAAGTTTATTCTCATTTCCCACAGGAATGGTCACGGAAACTCCTCTTGTTTGACCAAATAAATGGAGAGAGAAAGAGATTCGTTCAATAAAGTATAATAATAGAACGAAAAAGAGGACGAAAAAAAGCAAGACTAGAAATGCGATGAACAAGAAAAAGAAATGATAAAAATTTTCAATCTCCCAGGTAACACAAGAATATTGAGTTTCATCTCATGATACGAGAAAATCATTTGCCATGTAAACGCTTGCAACTATGGAAGCAACAATCTCATTTAATAATAAAAACTGTAGACCAAAAAAAAAGTTGTCCAATCTCAATTAAGTTACTTTTAAATACAATGTATACCTGGAAGCCAGAGGCATGAATGAAATACAATGAGCCGTTTGATGAGAAATGAAAATAAATTTTATTAAATAACCAATCAAGGGAAATGATGGATTTAACATTTTGACTTTTACAGTTTCCTTCATTTACCAATTTGACCAGCAACATTTGTCTTGCAATTTCATCAGTTATGTGCTAATGTTATCCATCATTTTATCCACTGAATGACCAAATACAACAGCCTGAGGACAATTTAATCAAAGGAATAAGAAGAGAAAGAAAAAGAAGAAAACCGAGAAAATCGAAGTTGGCTCAAGTTTCAATTTTACCTGTTAATATCAGGTGAAAGGGAAGAAAAGAAGAAAGGTAAACCAAAAGTAAAAGCAAAATAAGTTGATAAATATTGAAAGGAAAATGAAGAAATGAAAGAAAACAAAAAGCAACAATTGATGAGAACTGAGAACAAAAACGATGGAAAAACTGAATCAACTGTTTATCATGTCCGTTTCTTTTGCATCTTCTAATGATTCTTTCATGATGAACATGAAAAACTCTGGAAATGGAAAAGTTCTTGTCAACAAGTTTCGATAATTAATTTGGGCGAAGAAAATTGTTGCATCAAAACCAAATTCGATCGTTGATTGGGAGAATTCCGATTGATTACGATTCGGACGATGTTGAATGAACAAAAAATCTGTTGGAAAAATGAGAAAAGAGAAAAAGATCTTTTAGTGAAAAGAAGAAAACAGTTTCAAGAGCAATTCTGAATATTATTCATGGTGCATTACTCCATGAGAATCCAACAGTGGAATGAAGAGTTACTACACTTTGAGTAAATATTTATTCCAATCTGAATATGCTTCTCAGTTTATCTTTTTTGTTGTTTCTTCTCTCGATTCCATTCTTTTTTTTCCGTTGCAATATTTTTATTTAAATTTTTACCTTCAACTTTGTTTTTTACTCAAGTTGAGACAAAAATTTAGTTCAACTTTTGCATCTTCAATCATTTCGTTCAAGTTTAACCATTTAAAGGCAACATTCGTCATTGTTATCAATTCATTTTCTTGTTTTTACTTTGCCTCACATTATAAATGATGTTAGTCTAATAAAATAAAGGGAATGTGAATTAGAATGGAAACAAAATTGAATCAATTCATTAACCATTTTGACTGAATTGCGGCCAAACTTGAATCATCATGTGAATAGGAAAATTGCTTTATTTTCACTCAATCCAATTATTATCACTATTATTATCAGCATTATTATTATCACTATTTTTCTTGCCAACTATTAATCTTGTTTATCTTCGCTTTTTTTTCTTCTTTGCCTCTTCGCCTTCGTTTCTACTTTCATAAACTTTGCTCTCAGCGTTAATCTCTTCCCAGTAAGGAAAAAACAAATGCAATTATCAATGGAAAATCAAAGTTTCCATCATTAAGAGTTTCAAATATAATTTCGTTGAAACGATAACCTTTCATTTGACTAAACTTGTCCATTGCCTCTTAACCTTCAACGTTTTCAAGTTTGACCGAATCTTAATGTTGAAGAGGAAAGAAAAAAAAACTTTTAAGACAAAAAAAAGTCTAAACTCGAAAAGAAATGTCAGAATTTTTTTTCGCTTCTCATGAAATTAGTAGTTTGTTGTAGCATGCAAAACCAGAATGTCATGTAAATCACTTTACTATTATTGATTAGGCGTTTCAAGATGGGCCAAGTTGAGGGAAAAAAAGTTTCCAAAAAAAGGCAGAATAAGAATGAAGAAGATATAAAGATAATGCAGATTAACATATTATTGAGGTTTTACTGGTGATCCTCATTTGAGCAACTTTTTTGTGCCTTTGTAAAGTTATGATAGACATGAAGGATGCATTATGGTTACATGAAGATGAGCAGTTGCAGGATAAAGAGGATGATGATGATGGGGATAAAATGTAGATGGAAATGCACATGGAAAACATGCAACAAAGATATAAACATGGAAAAGAGTGAAAAGAGAGAAAAGTCAATATAAAGTGAGAAAATGTTGGCAAATGTTGATTGAATGGAGAACAAGGAAGAGAAGGAGAAAAAAGAAGAGAAGAGGTTTCATCTTCCTTCTTGGTTCATCCTAATCATGGTAAGATGAATAAATATCTTGGATAATAAATTGAATCAAGATTATGTACATATTGGCTTGATAGCATTGAATGTATAAGTGTGAAGATTAAGACGAAAGAATTGAAATGTTTCTTCCATTCAAATCCTTCATTGACTCTCATGTAATATGCAGATTCATCCGATATTTGCATCATTGTATTCATTGGTTTCATTCAATGTGTCTGGTTATCTACGAACACAGAAAATCTCAATTGAAGTTGAGTTTTGACCGATTGTAGAGATTTATTGAAGAATTTTTGCTTCTTTTTTCGAATGAAATTTTTTCTAAATTCAGTTTGATAGTGAAACAGAACTTTTGTTGAAGTTTATGGAATTATCTGATGAGTTCATTTTTCCATTTTTATTCATTTTCGATATTCACTGGAAAGGAAGGAAAAGGAAGTTTTACTTTATTCAATTGAGAGGTGATAATGGATAGAGTAAAGGGAAGATGAAAATGAGTAGCCAGCATGATAATATCAGGATGACTAGGAGTTGAAAATTCTTTTCACGCTTTCAAGAGAAAAGATAATCTAGTTTTGTTGACTCATTTTTGCTTTTCGTCGTTTCTTTCCTTCTCTAAGCTTGTCTTCATTTTACACTCTTTACTCTGTTACTTGAGTTCAATGAAGAAGAAAGTGAAATAATGAATCAGTTACATGAGGATGGTAATGAAGATATTGAAAGATGCTGGGATTGAGTGGAAAAACAAAGAGAATGGTGAAGATGATGGAAAATGTCTAATGAACATGGTGAGAATAATGGTGAACCTGTAAAGAGTCAGGGTGTGAATTCAGTGGAAAAGTGAATTAAGATGTCAAAATGGGTTGGAATTGCATGGAAAGTATCTTTACTCTTTGCCTTTTTTTCCTTCAATAGACTTGAACCATCATCATGATTCTCTTTCCATCATGAGCATCACCATCATGATAATGGATGAAAAGGTGGCGAATGAAAGGAGAAGCAGAAATTTGGACTCGAAATTCGAGGTGAATAGAAAAAGAATATGATTCATTTTTTGATTCAGTTGTTGAAATTTGAACGAAAAAAAGGGTTTCTCTTTTTACTTTCTCTTTCCATTCAAGATAAACTTGATAAAAGTTCATTTGTCTGAGCAAATGAATGAAGGAACAAAATGTTTTCTCTCTTCATCTTTTTCTTCTCTCCTTCAATTTCCTACCAAATTGTTGTTTTTTCACTGTTTTTCATTTTCTTTTCATCTCTTTTCACATGGTTACAGTTGAAAGGGCAGAAATGACAAACAAAATGATCATCAATAAAAGTAAAAAAAGAAGAAGAAACGTGGCAAAATGGGAAAATATCAACATTCATGGAGACGAAAGTTTGGAAAAATTCTTTTTCGACAAAATAAAGAATCAATTTTTTCTCCTTGTTCCTACTCAACATTCATCTGGCTCATTGATATCAATGAGTTTCTCCTTTTCCCTCAATTCTCGAGTTTACATTATTTTACTCTTTTCACTCCCAGACTGTTGCAAGTTATAAGAAAATTTTCTCATTTTGAAAAGACAGAAAAAAGGAAAATTTGAAAAGAAAAAACTATTCTCTGTTCAGTGCATGATAAACTGATATTGAAATTAATGATTCTTTTGATATCAAGAAAAATTGACTCAAATTAGGTGTAAATTTGAAACACATTTATCTCTATTTAGAGTTGAACAAAAGAGCGAAAAAGCGAAAAAACTCTTTTGTTTCAATATGGAATTACAATTGGTTTAAAAGTTCTCAAAAATTCTAATATGATTAATCATTTTTCTTCGCATTTATTAGATAATTAATTCCCAAATGGTTCAACGGAAATTCAATTTGAAATTCAATGAGATATTCATTTGTTTTTCCGTGTTTACTCAAGTTTCAATTTTACCATTTCATTGAGAAGAAAAGTGAAAAACTTTTTATTCTTTTCAAGTTTATATTTAAAACCCAAACTCATGATCAGAACTTTTCAACAATTAAAGAAATTCGATAATTCCATTTCGATTTTTTAGCAAATCGATGAATATCTTTTGGAGTTAAATAGGTTTGGACAGGGAGTTGAGAGAAAAAAGTGATTTTCTTTTTCATCGAAAAGAATCAAATTGAAACATTGAAATAACAAGAAAGGATGATAATGTGATGAGAAGAGGATGCTTAATGTAGCATGTAGAAAAGCATATTAAACATTTCATGGAACGTAATTCATTGAAGGAGAAGATAAGAGGCTGAGAATGATAATGATGAAAATGGATAACGATTGAATAAGATTGAGCAAAGGGAAGAAAAAAAGAAAAAGAAAAAAGTTGAATTTCGAGTTTTGTATTTTCTTTTTCATTTTTCCATTGATATTCTTTTCTCTTGATGAACCAATAGAATGAAAAACTATTCATTTGTTGGTTTTATAGAGTTGAATAAAATTTCAAGTTCTGCAAATTATCTGAAATTATCAAACTTTATTCGCGTCATTTGATTCTTTTCTGATTTTTACTCTTTACATCAACTTGTTCAATATCATCAACTTATCATTTGTTAAAATACTTTTTACTTGAAATTCATTCTTCTGTGAATACAGTTTGTGGAAAAATGAACAAAATTTCTCTATTCTATCAGTTTCATGGTTATTCAAATAATCAGTCTATTAATGAACCCTCATTCCATGACAATCTAATTTGATCATTTCTCAAAATTTCCATTTCTAAACTGAAATCGTAAAAAGAAATCAAACTTAATTGAATGTTTTTCTTTCGTTTTTCAATTCAATTTCATCCAAACGAAAATCTTGATTGGAGAAAACATGAAAAATTCAACATTCTATTTGTTTAAAGAGAAAATCATTTCCACCAAAAATTCATTTTCCATGAAATTATTTATTTCATCGAACCAGAAAAACTGGTCAAATGCTGAATCTCAAGTGCAGTAACTCGATTCATGATTTTTCTTGATTCATTTTCCTCAAATCATTATCATTCGCTGGAAGAATTTCGATTTTTTATCAAGTTCTGTTTTCGAAAATTTTTTTTCGAATTCATGATGAAGTTCATTGGAAATGTTATGCTCTGTTCATTGATTACATCAAAGTTTTTCTTTTTTGTCACTTCATTAGAAAGTCAGAAGAGACTAATTAATCAAAAATTTTATTGTTACGAAGTTTTGCCTTTTCGTTGGTGAAACTTTTTTACTAAAATAATGCATTCAATGTTGACTGATAACAATCCATTCATCACACTGAACTCAATCTGAATCAAGTTGAATGAAAAACTGTTTTTGTTCAAATGTTCAATCCAATTTGAAATGTAAAATTGAAAGAAAAGCAAAACTCTTTCATGATTTGTTTCAGTGTCAAAATGAAGAGAAGAACAAAGCAAGAAAATTCTCAACTCGAACCAATCAAAATAAATGTTTGGATTTTGCTTTTTTCACTATAAATTTCACGTTCAACATTTATTCATGATAACGGTTCTTTCAATGTCATCAAGTATTGAGAAATAGTTCAACTCTAATGGTCAGTTTTACTAACCATATGCACCTCATGATATCTTTTCATGCATTTGTTTATTTTCCTTTTTCTTTTGCAACTTCTCTTTTCCTTTTCACACCCATTCCAAGCCGAATATATTCAAATTGTTCAGTTTCAATGAAATAAACATTTTCTTTTTTTCCCTCTTTTCTAATCTCTTGTCATCTAACAACCAAGTGACCTTATCCAAGTCAATGTATTTCACCATTTACTCTCTTCATGCAATAATCGTCCAATAAAAGCGAAAAAAACCAAATGAATAACATTATCATTCTCATGATGGTTAAAGGTGATAAAAATGAATTATCCATTGAAATAGCAAACTGAAATTTCCTTTTCATCTCTTTGGACAGAAAAGACTTTTCAATTTCCGTTTCAAAAGCACTTTCAATGAAACGAAAAGAAAACATTTTAAAGTTTGTGTTCCTTATTGAACTCCAACTGAAAACCATGCTAATGCAACGGTCGACAACAATTTCACTTTACCTTCAAAAGTAGGAAGCAAAGAAGATTGCTCTCGAAGTTTTCAAAACTAAATTTTAATGAAAAATTATCTTTTCTATCATTTCCCCTGAGTCTAATAATTTTCCTTCTGTTTCATATTTTTAGTGAGACTCAAACGGTCAGAAAATTTTTCTAAAAATAAATGATAAATTTGCATAATTGTAAAAAACCATTTCATGATAATGTTCATCATTTTGAGTTTATTCAATAATCGTTTACATTCATTCAATGAAGTGAATTGATCAGTAATGACCCTCATTTTGAGCTCAAAATAGTTGTCTACTATTTATCTGACAAGGAAAGGTTACAGGAGTTACAAAAGTCAACTTTTCCATGCTAAAAATATTCTAATAGATCATGAGCTTTGGTCGAGTTTTTCGTTTTGCAAATTTTCGATTAAAGAGTTGCATTTCGATCAATTTTTGCATAATTCAATGTGTTATTTCGATATTGCGGGTCTATAATAAAATCTGTTTTTTATCATTTTTAATTGATTCATTTTGCGGTAGAAATGAACTGTTGTAATTCGTTACATGGCTAATCTGTTAGACAACCACATTTAGATTGATGGGCTCAGCCTCAAGCTATTTTATCTTTCAACCCTCAGACCACATGCTGTCACTGTTTCATTCATTTCATTCTTCCGCCTTTTGTTTCTTTCAAGTTTCTTTTCTTACTGAACCTTTTCATATCAAAATCATTATCTCACTCTTAAAACATAGAGATTTGAGAAAAGACCAAATCTACAACAGTGAATCTCCCAACAATTTTTAAGCTGCATTTTAAAGGTGCCAGTATCGTCACGAAAAAATGATCGAGACAAGATCAATCTTTCGATTCACTGATTTTCTGTGCAAATGTTGACTCAAGTCATTGAGGAAAGACCAAAACCCTAAGAAATTTATCAATTCATCAGTTAGTTTTGTACCTTTTAAGTTGGTCGATCTCTCTCAAGAACTCGAATCTTTGAAAACTTTTTTACTTTTCATTACCTTCCAATTTGCCAAGACAACTAAATAGCATTTTCAAGCAAAACCAACAAATGATTGTACTCAGATAATTGTTTCAACATTTATTCAATTAGCCAATAGTGAAGCAATAGACTTGATCTTCATTTGATATTCACATTTTGTGCATGAAGTCATTCGAAGATGGTGAAAGAATTTGTCTTGAAATTTTCCTTTTTTTCGCCTCACTTTTTGTTTCCATTAAAATTGATCAACTGATTATTGGATGGTTGATTAACAAATCTAATTAACTACAAAAACTGATGAAAATGTTGTCACATTCAAGGAATTTACAAGACAAAATATTCACTTCTAGTTAATGCAATAAGAAGCTTGCAATCAAATTAGTCGAAATTTTTTCTTCTTCAGACTTTATCTGTTTGACTTTTCTTGTTCATGATTTAATTTGATTAAAAGTCGACTAATTATCGTTGCAACTTTTATCTACACTCAAGATTGGAAAAGGGAAATTAATCGAAAAGAGAAGATACAATTGAATATTAGAATGAATTATTTCACTTTTCTTCATTTTCCATTCCAATGAATGCAATTGTTGGAAGAAAACTATTGATAACAATTGTCATTGCTTCTAATGACTTACCTCAGTGTTTTTTGTTTGTCATTTCAACAATTTCCTTCCTGATTATCTGTTAATTCCTGTTCCTAATCGTCATTATTATCGATTGAATAGGAAAAGCTAAAGAAATGAAAGGAAATAAAAAAAGGTAAGAAATCCAAGTTCAAGTTATTCTCATGATGATAATATAATATTAAATATGATTCTTATTATTTTATCTCTTTCTTCAATTACTTTTGTCTTCATTCATTCATTTCTTATCCTCAAGCATTCTTGACATTCTTATCTCTTCTCAATATATTTTATTCCAATTTCAACGAGTACATTTCAGTGCAAACACCGAACAAGCAAAAAGTTCCAAATGATTTACACTTTTATTCCGAATCTGAATAGTGTTCAGTAGAATGAAAAATCGTACAAAAAATCGAAATTAATCTTTTTTCTCCAATTTAGTGAAAAAAATGTTCTCAAATGAACAATGAACATTTTGGTGTTTCCATGAATAACGATGATGAAGAAATTGGAAACCAAATGTTGGACTGTTGCTTGATGAAGGAAAATGTGTTTAACAAGCCATTGCCATCATCAGAATTTGATGATTAATCTGAATAATGAATTGGAATGGAAAAATCTGACCTTTTCCTTTCGAACACAACATTTGATACATTTTCTTTTTTCCATTTTCTCTTGTTTCTTTTCTGTCTCTTCATCATTTTTCTCCCTTTTCCTACTCATCTCATGATCAATGGAAAATGCATTTGATAAGAAAGTATTAATATTACCATCAACTGTCAAATGCAATATAATGCATTATTCAGCTCATCAAAAATTAACTTAATAAGTTTATTTCGGTGTCATTCAAAGGGAATGGAATGAATCGGCGATAAGCAAAATTGCTCAAATTAACACAAATATGAACAAGCTTGTCAAACATTTAAACTGTCAACATGCAACCAAATCAAATTAATTGTGAAAAGGGAATTTAAAATTCATCTGTCAACTTGGCAAGAATCAGAAGCGAAAATTTTCCTTCTTCTTACCAAAACCAGAATCGAGACCAAAATTTAAATACTTTTCATGGTTAAAACAGTTGCAAGGTTAACACACAAAAGATCAAAAATGTTTATACTTTTAATGACATTTAATCATGAAACTGCAACAAAACTTTTTTTCAAATTTTCTTTTTCCATCAAATGAAACAATCAAGATTTGTTTACGGAAAAGTGGAATTTTTGGTTAAAATATTTTCAAAATTTTGCACATTTTTTCCCTTCTTTCTTGGGTTCTTTCATGAAACTGATTTTATTATCACCATTTCACCTCTCATGGAAGGTGATAGATAAGCGAAAATTGTTTCAACCCTTTTTGTTTGGATAACATTTTCTTGTTGTTTTTTTACTTTCACTGTTTTCTTTGTTCTTTCATGTTTGATGTATTCAACAATAGATTAGAGTCTAATAACTGTCATCATCAAGTGTCAATCAGGTGATAAAGTAGCATAAAAATTCATTGAAAATTTGAATGAGCAAATGTTTGCTCAGTAAAACTGTCAAAAAGTAAGCAAGGAATATTTAATGATCAATTTTTTTGCCATTTCACTTTTCAAATCAATTCGAACCAAACAAAACGCTATTTTATGCAAAAAAATAGACATGAAGAGATGCAAATGAATATCGAAACGGAAAACTTAAACATTATAACATATTTGACAAACAAAATGCAACAATTCTGTTCGCTCATAAATTTTCAATTTTGAAACATTCTTCCAACAGAACTCGATATATAATAATTCCAAAAAAATCACAGCTTCAAATGTGTGTTCCAAATAATCAAGAAGACGCAAGACGCATCGATAAATATCGAGATATTAAACAGAGCAAGTTCCAGCTTTGAATATATTCAACGAACGAAAAGCGACATTCGAATCTGTTTTCATCTTGGATTTCGAGACTTTCGCTCAACAGAATATGATGCTTCAAAAAACTTTTGAAGGGCGATAGAAATAAAAGTATTTCGAAATTTGAAGTTTTGAAACTTATTCGCGGTCCATCAACTCTGAATTATCAATGACAATTCATAAAGAATAATGTTGATCTAAATTTGATTTTAATGGTTTTCATATTGAAATGAGTTTGTTGAGGTTTGAAAAGAATGAAAATGTTTAATGGAAAAACTTTTGTTAATCAATCAAACGTTGTTTGAGCAAAAATTGTCATTTACGTTTAATGGCAACTCAATTCCTTTGATAATTGCAATTAAACTTGTTAAAGTATGAAAATTTCATTTAGCGCAAGCTGTTAATTTGTCTCGTTGGAGCATTTTTGGTTTGTTGGTTTTCACTTGAACAAATAGTCGAGTTGAAGAGGAAAAATTGAAAATTGAACACAAACTAAACAAATGTTATGGTTGAGAAAATTTTCCTGGTTTAATGGTTTAAAATTGAATCAAATTGCCATTGACCGTTAAAGGGAGTTAAAAGTGTGACATAGACTTGCTCAATGGTTAGCAAGTTCAAGATCAACAGCAAATTTCCCTCGAGAATTGAATTGAAATTTGTTTCCATCTTTAATATTCTTGAAGCAAAGTAAAACTTTCAGATTTGGGTTCAACTCGATATTGCCATTTTGTGCATTTTACTGAACATTTGTTATTGACTTTCCCAACCTAATTGATTAACAATAACTTTTAAAGGTTAACAACTTTTTGCTTCAACTAAAGGACGAAACAAAAGTTGATAAACATTTCCAAGTTAAACGCAACTTTATGAAGACAGTCAAAGATGGAAAAGGTGAAGAGAGAAAAGAATTGGATTCAATATTTTCTCTTGAGAATTGTGTTAATGTTGGAAGAAGAAGTTGAGAAAAGAGAGAAAAGTTTTGATTTCGAATGTTGAGAAAAGTTGGAAAGTTGGATAAATTGAAGAGGAAAAACTCATAACGTTAGATTATCTCGACAATTGATGAGCTCAATTTTGCCAATTCAAATTGCCTTTCAATAAACAGTTAAGACAAAGAAAGCTTTTCCTCTTAAGTGAGGCAAAAAAAGAGTTGAAAAAAATGTACTCAACAAATCCGAAAAGCTAATTCTGAACATTTTCCTCTTGCAACAAGAAAAGTTGCCAATATTAGTTGGAAGGAAAAAAATGAGCAAAATTCTTATCAATGATATTTTGTTTCAACTTGTTTCGATATTAGCAACTAAAGACTCTATCGATTGAAAAACTACAAAAAAAAGTTATATTTCAAGTTACCAATTCAATATCAACTTACAAGAAGAACTAAAGTTTTTTTGTTCAAAGTTAATGAGAGTTTTGAAGTTCAATTGTTTAAATCGCACTTTTCCTCGACTGTAATCATTGACATTAGAAAGGCTTTAAATAAAGACTCAATTATCTGAACACTTAATAGTCATACAGATAATGGATCCAATAATCGTCGAATTTTAATGGAAATCATTGCAATAGATTTTTTTTCTCGTCTTTTGTTGACCCAAAATGAGGTGCAAAAGTGTTGCCAAAAGAATGGAGAAAATGGCTCGAGATGACTTTTCACTCCCAGTCGACTGGGAGTGAAAGTTGTTGATATTGTTCATTCTTTTCAATTTGAGACATTTTTAGATAACAATTTTGCTCTTATCAGTCAACCGATATAATGTCAGGTTAAGTCAATTTGATTACATCTTTTATCTGATTATGTGAGAAACATAAGGAAAAAAAAGATGGAAAAGACAAAAATTGTTTTTCTTTTGCAATCCTTAAAACTCGAGTGAACCACAAAGAAACTAGAGTTGACTTGTTCATCTTGTAAAAATTATCTTCAACTGGACCATCATTCTGATGGTCAAAGTTGATCATAATGCTTTGCTTTTACATTCCCTGGTCATCTTCATTTTCCTTTTTACTTTCACTGATCTTGCATTTCCACTCCAAAGAGCTATAAATCTTTTCCTTGCCCTTATTAGGTGCACATCATCAATCTTGAACAATTTCAACTTTCACCTTTTTCCCTTTCGAAATCATTTCTCTGTTCATCCAAATTCATTAACATTTCTGATTAAGCCAACGCCATACCTTTTATGTGTCTCTTGAAGAGCCAAAAGTTTGCAAAAAGCAACTCAATTTCAAGAGTAAAATTTAAAGCTCAGAAAGTCATTCATGCTCAAAAACTTCAACTGCAAGTCTGACAAGAAAGAGAAGCAAAAAAAACTAATTGAATTCATTCAAATGATTTGCAATGAATCTGAGCAAAAGAAAAGATCGCTTTGAATAACATGAGAATAAACAAAGCGCATTGAAATGGAAAGTCTTTTTCAGTCTTTTCATCGTTGTTTAAAAATAATCTTAACTCGAAAAATGGAAAACTTGAAAAGATAAAATTTTACCAATTTTCATGTTTTTTTTCTCCAAAACTCATGAATTCTAACAGAAAAAGTTGATTCTATTATCTGCCAATTCAGTTTTACATTCAACTGTCAGAACTCTTTTTTTGTTGGAAAAACAAATTTTTCTGTTTAACTTTTATTTTCGTATCCTGTAACCATTTAAAGCCCATTCAAATGAAGAGAGAAAAAAAGTAAAACTGGAAAAAATTTTGCTCATTTTTCCAAATTCTCAACGTTTGTTGGCTTTTCTGTTCGTAATAAAAGTTTAATTTCCACTTAGCTCTAATGATGTAAACATTTAGCCATGATAACATGAAATGGTGAATAGTTTAATTTGATTATTTGAATAGTTGAAAATGAGAAAAAAAGGTAAACTCGAAAAGAGCGAAAATTGAAAGAGTTTTTTTTTCTCCTCAAGTTATTCGAAGAAAAAAGTTGCAGAAATTAATGTTGAACCAATCAATATTTAATCAACGCTTTTCCATGTTCTTTCCTTGTTCCATAATCATGAACCTTATTGAGCTCAACATTGGTTGATTAATGATGGATTCACATTTTACGGTCAAGTATTTCATGATAAACTGTACTAAACATTAATCTGAAAAGGTGAGTTGCATTAAAATCAATCGAAATCTCATTGGAAATTATCTTTTTTTTTTCGCTTCACAAAAATTCGCCAAACATGAAATCAGAGTTTCCCAATTAGTGCCATGCAAAGGCCATGAATCGCACCAAGAAAA